CCCAAGTACGAGAAAAAATAATCCGACGACGACCCTCTACAAGGCATCAAAAAGAACTTAGCACACTTGAAAAAAATTTCGATTCTCCATTCTAATAAAATATGAAGATAAAAAGATATTCCACAGCATTACATACCTAAAAACTCGTATAATAGACCTTTTTTTGGAAAGGTGGAACATTTCAAAAGCAACGTTTTAGAGATTTTTCTTTCACTGCAGGGAGAAGGAATTAGTTATAGTGAGAGACGGAAGAAGAATCGGGGCAGCGAGAACAAAGGCAAAAATCAAAGCTTTGTCGTGGTCTTGGACCAGGCCATTAGCGTCCATGACTTGGTAGGAAGTTCTCCAAACAGAAATTGGCCCAAAGTCAAAGCAAAGTGATGGGAACGTTTCAATGTACTCTAAACAAACAAACAAATTGAAGACTGTGGCCGACTGACAAACACACGGACAGTCGGACAAGAAAGAATTGTATAATTAATAGCATTAAACAAAAACTAAATCAAAATGTCAGGGAGAAAAATCAGCGCAAATTGAAAAATCATTTCTTCTCACGTTGGGCAATTTTTATTCAATACTGACGATACTCACCCCAGTCCCATACCGATTCATTTCGATCTTGTCGGTCTCTGGAGCCGATTGACGTCACTTCGGGTGAGCAATTAAAAACTACTCGGCCAGCAGGCAGCAATCCAACGAACTTGTACAAACTACAAATCAAAAGTGAATCCTCTCGACTTGGCAACAGCGATCGACCAGCGGAATTGAGTTGGCACAAAAATACAAAGAAAGCAAACAGAAATGTGGCAAACAAATTCGTAGCGTGTGCGCGAGTAGAAAATGTGGGCGAGTAATTATGTTTCGAGTCTGCGAAAATGCATTAATGTTTGCCAAACAAATAAAGCTTAAACGTAGTGGCTTAACAAAGGAGATTTTCCTGCACTAATTGCACGGATTAGGCTGGCAATCAGTTAATTGAAATTCAATTTACATAGTGACGCAGGTGGCTAAAGGTTATGGTCGTATTTTCACTAAATGAGAAACCTCTGGAAAATTGATTACCAAATGACTTGAGTTGGGATACCCGAAGCCGGCTTAAAATGTCAATTTCAGATGTGTTCGCAGTGTAGACTGAGTGCTTTTGGGCGGACGCATCTGTGTTCATCTTGTTTGGGGGCTTTAACTAAACTTGTTGCCTGCCTAACGAGCGTAAAACAGTCATTAAATTCGCCATTCCACCCACAACAGAAGTGCCTGCAGCTTAGCTTGCTTGCTAATTGAAAGTGAATTAAAAGCCTCACCTAAATACACTTCATATTCACTCGTTAATTCCGCTTTAATGCAGTTTAAAAGCACCTGTTGCACTTTAAAATCGTTGTCATCATCATTAAAGTCGCATCTTTCGCCACAATTAAGAGTCATTTACTTATCACAATCTGTTCAGCGCCCCTCTACCATCTCATCGCAGCTGAGCTGAGCTCAGTGCAGTTCAGCTCCTGCAACCGATGTGGCAATCATCCCGGGGTGCCATTAGTGCTGCTGAGATTAAAAAGGCTTTATCTAGATTTAGGCCTTTAAATAGCCAACTATTTATTGTTAATGTTTGTAGTTTACATTTTAATGATAGAAAAATAATAGAGTAGGAAAGTTTTCTTATCTTCTTAACTACAAGAAATTTAAACTGATGTGCATAATTTATATAATTATTTTCAATGTAATTTACATAGATATCTAGTGCACTAAATCAGCTGAACAATGTCTTTAACGTAAAGAACTGCTTAACAGATAATAACACTTAAATGGCGTTGTAATAAATATAAATTCAATGCAAAACATTGTTTTCAATGAGTTAAATAATTTTAAATTGACACCTGGAAGTAGCCAAATGGGACTACTAAATAGCTGAAATGCCAACACAGGGCTGGCTAACGCTTTAGCCTTGTCTCCGCCTCTCTAAAGACGTCGCTCAGGTTGAACGAGAGTGCTGGTGGCGGAAAGCCATTTTCCCTGTTGACGCTTAGAGATTTTCGCCCAACAATGGCAGCCATAAAATTGCAGGGACGTCAGGATGGCGATGGCGGTGACAACGAGGACAGGACAGCTTGTGCTGCTTCCCCAGTCTGGAGCCTTTTCATCATTTCGGTTGCATGCAATGAGCGAAATGGCAACGTGCCATGGCAACTCATAACGGATGCCGAGTGCTGGGGATTAAAACGTAACCAAAGCCATTGAATCGGGATTCCACTCCCAATGATGCAGGGCAAATTGAAAAGCCCTGGATGGCTCTTATTTTCTTTTTCCCCCTCCCCTCCCCCTCTTTTCATTTTTTTTGTTCGTTCTGAAGCTTGTGAAATATGCATCCTCGACATCATATTCATTAAGTGCAGCTCGCATTGAGGAAGATGTATGGCGGTGACCTCGATTGTATATGCCGCCCACTTTTCCCGCCCATCTTCGGAAGCTGCTGCTTCTTGTTTCTGTCTGGGTCGCCTTGATATACTGACAAATCATTTCACATTTCACACAAAGCGTCAGAGGAGCATGCTCTTAAAATTTTTGTTCGTTCAATGACATTGAAAAGAATTTTCATATGTGCTTTTCCCCAGACTCCCCCCTCTGGCCACGCCCCCTTCAACAGTGTCGTCGTTGTTTGCTGACGTTTCGCTTGGCTTGTTTTATTTCTGATGCTTTCGGTTTCTCTTTTTTTTTTTTTGTTTTTGGCACAGTTCTTCTTCATTGATCTTGTCTGGTTGGTGAAATTTATAAGCGCTATAAAATGCAAAAACGCTACCGCATTGCTCCCGATTCTGAAGTTATTTTTGGATCGCTCCCCCGTCGGTTATCTCACTTCATAACGATAAAATGTGATAAACAAATTAAATATATTTCGGGGCATTTTCCGCTGCTTTGAAGGGTGCCGCGCCTATGTTGCATAATTGCACAAATTGATTACAATTCCGGACGCTTTTCTAACTGTGCCCGGCACGCCCAGCATTTCCTCTAATTTCCCGTCTCCAAATGAGTTTCCAAATGGGCCGACTGCCCCAATTTTTTTTTTATTTCGTATTCCCTGGGTGTGTGTGTGTGTGTTAAAGGTCAACGAATTGTTTGTCACCGACGTTCATCTAATGACCGCCAACTGTGCCGCACAGCTGAGCATCTTGTGCTGTTTGTGTGGCCGCCATATGTTTCCAATTGCCTCCGTGCGGGTTTTTCATGGGTGGAAGGAAAAGCGAAGGAAAAGCGCCTTGCTGCGCCCATTTGTCTGCAACTGGCGGGATCCAATTTTGAGTGTTTTGCTTGACGGATTGACGGATGTGTGCGGCTGGTGCCTCAGCTGTGGCAAAAAAAGCTTTTAGGCTTTGAAAAGTTCAAAGAGCACCAGCGGATGGCCAAGGATGCAATGTGGCTTATACAGTTGAGCTCCATCAACTTAAATTTCACTGCAAATTTAATACGCCAAACAACCTGAATCGAATATTCTTACTACAATATTTAAGCCGAAAGCAGTATTTCAAACCATTTTTGGGACTTTAATGCTAGCATTAAACACTTTAAATATGTGTATATAGTATGCATAAATCTATAGGCCTCGAAATCTAGAGCAGATGGTGGTTTCAAGTTGTTCAACTGTAGCATCTATAATTGGCCAGCAGACAGACTCCTCAAGGCCATGAACAAGGCCTGCCTGCCACTGCACACAATGCAGAACAATGCCAGGCCGCAGATACATAAAAATAAATGTCAGCTCATATTTTTATATAATTTTTAATTAAAATGCTGCTGTGCTGTGCAGCTCTTCGTGTCCGTTTGCTTGTTTGCGGCACTTTTCTCATTTCTCTGGCTGTGGCACTGTGGCAATGTGGCAATGCAGTTGCGAATAAATAGCTTATCGGCAACCTGCCACAACTGGTGACATTCTCAGCGAAAACGGGGGTCTATGACTGGCCACATCCGTCGATTGCCACGAGGCCACATCCGCGTCCATTGTTGCCCCGCACAACTCGAGCATGTCCTGCCTTCAGGACACATTTCTTCCACGCCGCCCTCCCCCTCCCTCTCCCCTTCGGTTTCCGTTATGTTGTTGCCCCGTCGCGGCGAGTTCGCGTTGCGGGTCCCACGTGTCGTATTAGTTGGATTGAATGCGGACACATGGGGCAAGTCACCCCGCGTTGACCGATGACGATGTTTCGTTTCGTTTCCACTTCTGCTTCTGCTGCTTCTCTATTTTCTTTCACATTTTTCCTTTTTCCGGGGGTGTACGCTGTACAAGTGTTTTCCCCATGTATCTGGGTCAATTGAAACAGTGTTGAAAAGGCTTGAGGCCCCCTCACTCCTTCTGCCACCTGTCGTTTTGCTTTTACGGGCAGTTTCGTGGTTTTCATGCGAGGCTCTCGTGGAAAAGCTTTTGTGGGCGTGCTGGTAAACAGTGCAAACATACACATACACATACACTGCCAGTGCCGCCGCCAGTTTTCCTGTTTTCCCGGGTCCTTTGCGTGCGCATTTCCGCTTTGGCAGCTCGAAATTTATTCGATCAACAAGTTTCGTTTGTCATTTTACGCTTCGTCTCGCTCTATCAGACCGGGGCCAAACAATAACAACGCAAGCCATGGCCAAAATGGGACATGTACATGTTTGCAAATGCCAGAGTTAATAGTTTTTTTTATTTTGCAACTGGCGTCTTATCGGAAATTCAGAAAGTGCCAAAAGGAAAGCGTGTGCGCTTTAAAACGGAAAATGAATTGATAGACTCTGACAAGGCCATATGCGGAAATCTTTCGCTCAGTGGTTCTGCTGGAATATTTATAGCAGATTTATTAATATATTAACGCGGCCCTTTGGAGCAATTCATGCGTGAGCAAGTCAATCAGCCGAGCAGATAGAAACGTGTAACCCGATAACCAACCGACGAGCCTGGCTCTCTGGCTCGGCTCATTGAAAAGCCACAACAGCAATCAGTAAACAGTATGCTATATGCTCTCCTCTTCTTCTTCCAGATATACCCGACATTCCCGACGACATCAAGCATCTGCAGAGCCTGCAGGTGGCCGACTTCAGCTCGAACCCGATACCCAAGCTGCCCTCGGGCTTCTCCCAGCTGAAGAACCTAACCGTCCTGGGCTTGAATGACATGTCGCTCACCTCGCTGCCAGTGGACTTCGGCAGCCTGACGCAGCTGGAGTCCCTGGAGCTGCGCGAGAATCTGCTCAAGCACCTGCCCGAGACAATAAGCCAGCTAACGAAGCTCAAGCGCCTGGATCTGGGCGACAACGAGATCGAGGATCTGCCGCCCTACTTGGGCTACCTGCCCGGCCTCCACGAGCTCTGGCTGGACCACAACCAACTGCAGCGACTGCCGCCGGAGCTGGGACTGCTGACCAAACTGACCTACCTCGATGTGTCCGAGAACCGACTAGAGGAGCTGCCCAACGAGATCAGCGGCCTGGTCAACCTCACGGACCTGGATCTCTCGCAGAATCTGCTCGAGGCGCTGCCCGACGGCATTGCCAAGCTGAGCAGGCTGACCATCCTGAAACTGGACCAAAATCGCTTGCAGCGGTTGAACGATACGCTCGGAAAGTAAGTATCTGCTTTAGAATCATTTCCTGCTTCCAAAGATAGTTGCATCGAGGTTATTTATTAAAAAGAATAGTCATTTGCAAGTTCAAATAAATTACATTTGAGTATATACATATAAGCTTACTGGTTATGTTCTCGAACTAAGAAAACTTTCTTATCTTATCTGGGTTATACCACAATATTTGCCAATATCCAACAAGAAATAATTATACAAAAATAAAAACAGCCAGAAAAAGAATAATAGTAAAACAGTAGTTAAATGAAACTGAAGATGCAATTATTTCCAACTAGTGTACTATAAACATAAACCAAACTATATATTTACAACCTTCTTTCTACTTTTATAGCTGCGAGAACATGCAGGAGCTGATACTCACCGAGAACTTCCTGTCGGAGCTGCCCTCCTCCATTGGCCAGATGACCAAGCTGAGCAATCTGAACGTGGATCGCAACGCGCTGGAGTACCTGCCGCTGGAGATTGGCCAGTGTGCCAATCTGGGAGTGCTCAGTCTGCGGGACAACAAGCTGAAGAAGCTGCCGCCAGAGCTGGGCAACTGCACCGTGCTGCACGTGCTCGATGTGAGCGGCAACCAGCTGCTGTATTTGCCCTACTCGCTGGTCAATCTGCAGCTGAAGGCCGTCTGGCTGTCGGAGAATCAGTCGCAGCCGCTGCTCACCTTCCAGCCGGACACCGATGCGGAGACGGGGGAGCAGGTGCTGTCCTGTTACCTGCTGCCCCAGCAGGAGTACCAGCCAATTACCCCGGGTGAGTGTGGCATGAGTCAGCCAACAGCGAATTTCCCCAGTGGTTTAACCCAGTGGCCAAAGGTTGCTTCACATTTGGCGCTGTTTGCTCGCTTTGGGGCCGAATTTGGCCAAGTTATGTGCCCTTATCTGCACCTGACATAGATTCCACAGAGCCCCTTCCCATTGCTCCCCAATCGTTGTGCAATATCTTCAATCTATGCTCGCATTTCCGCGATAAGATAAACCGCGCAAAGTGAGCAAACATCGCCAACACAGAAAGCGAGCGCTTTCCAAGTTCTGTACGTTGTTTCACTATCTTTGTGGGTGAACAAAAAATATATACAAAACTCTGGCAAGACTTTTTAATTCAATTTCAATGTTATCCTTCCGGCAAGTTTTCACCTATTTTTGTGACTAAAACTATCTTCTAATTGTGCTTCGGCAAGAGCACTTTTCCCACTATTGTGTTACATACTGATTTCGATTATTTTCTTTGCATTCCGCCACGTCACCGCGCTCTTTCGACCATTGCACTCTACTCACCCTCCTTTTATGTTCATCCAATCAAAGACTATCCACCCATGACGCTTTATAGATCCAGCGAAAAATTCGATTCGATGGAATTCTTCAGTTATCAGCAGAAAGGTTTGCGTTTAGTATTACCTTCTTTGTTAGTATCAATAACAGTACACGCTATATCTGCCTTGTACACTTGACCAGTCTATATGGTAGAGTTGACCGATTTGGATTTGGATTCACGAACCACTAGTTCACGCCTGGGTTTAACGTATTATACGTTAATTTATTCAAAATTTAATTGCTTTGAGTTGAAACTCTACTGTATTGACCCTCCTCATACTCGTAGCATGACCGCTCAACATTTGCATGACCGCTTTGTTGTGAATGTGAAATCTATTATATATATATACATCTATTAAGCTACCTAATGATCATTTTGTTATATAATCATTATGCCTGCAAAAATTAGTTGTGTTTGAAAGTTAGAGTTTCTTGAAAAGAGACTTTCAAAATGATCAGAAAGAACACACCCAAAAGGCTTTTCTAACACATTCTAGTTGACATTTAACCAACTGAGCTCCGTTCTCTCGGGTTCTTCGTAGATGATAGCATCATGTTGGCCAACACTTTTGGTTGGGAACGCATCTTGGCCGGGCCAAAATCCAGTCAGCATTGACAATGCTTGCCGAGAGTGTTTGGAACAAAAACACTAACCGGTTTTCCCCAAAGCCAACCAATGACGTCATGACAACAAGTTGTTTTTTTTTTTTTTTTTTTTTGTTTTCTTCTGTTTCCATAGTTGGGTGTTTTAGGACCGGGCGTTGGCTGAGAAACATGAATATACATATATGTTTTCCATACATGAGTGAATACTACTCTCGCACACGCAACGCACTGCGATTGATGATAAAAGTGTGTTCGATTTGGCTTGTTTGATTTGATTATGTTATTATTTTGTGTTTATATTCCATTCATTTGACGGCTGGCAGTGGAAATATTCGCTTCATGCGTGCTTGCCATCGCCGATCAGTAGTGCCGTTTGTACGTTTGGTTCCCACACCCAGAAAATAAAAAAAAATCCACTTGGCGAATGATTGGGATCTATCTTGCCCCCGAATTGGTCGGTTTTAGCCGCCTGTCAGTGGCAGCATGCCAGATCAAAGCGGACAAACAGACGCACAAACGATTTGTTTGTTGGCTACTGGCTGCAAATACCGAGATCCATTACCATTTAATCTGCTCTGCCATATTTACCCCTCCCCCCCACCCCGCTGGCATTTATGAGGAGCATTTGGGGCACTTGAGTGATGTCAACGGCTCTGACGTCACGGCGGCAAGGAGTGGCAGTTGGGAGCTCAAAACTGGGGCAAGATCGGCCAGAAATGTAATTATGTGTATGACGCTGCGTCGGTTAATAATATTAATCGCCTGGCTCGTTTCGATGTGCTACGTGTGTGTATGCCACCAAAACTAACTGTTGATTAATGGCCTGTCACAGCGGCTACAGTGGGACCTGGCTGGGTGGACTTGAATTTGCAAGGAAGCTGTTCAAATTCCCAGGAGAGTTATCTAACTTCAAACATTTAATTTAGGAGATAGAATTGTAGTTGTTTATTAATATTAATCACTACTCTTTTGTTGTTAGAAGTTGGTTTTTAAAGTTGTTATGCTATCAGAATTGCGCTTTAAAGTTATGAAACTGGTTTTAGAGTAATATAAAGAAAATCTGACGTAATGAAGTTCGAAATACAATACAATACAGAGAAATCTGGCGACCTTAAGATGTTTTTCCTAGGCGAGTCTTCCTAAAGTTGGTATGCAAATGAGCCAGTCTAGAGTCTAATTTGTTTTTCCTCAGTCTCCACTGTGACACTCTCTGATTGAGTGCCGCATGATTCAACCTGTATTTGTTGTTACCGATGTTGCTATTGTGGTTTCGGTTCTGTGGCGTAGTTGCCTCCCAATCGAAATGAATGTATAAGTAGATATTGTAACTGTTATTCGGCTTCCAAACGAGTTTCGGCCACTCCGTTTGCCTATAAATAGCTTATATCATCGGTATATTTGGAGAACCGACTTACTTGTCTGGTAAGCAGACGATGAACGACGAACGACATGTTTGACTTACCACTTCGCCAACGATCAATGGTCAATGACGGATTCGGATTAAGTGCACAATGGCACACACATAACTTAGCCAATTTAGACGAATGTGTGAATAGTTTCAAGATCAAACTCGTTTTATTGTTTTCCCCGCATATCTTAGAGCCATGTAAGCGGTGTTCAAATTATCCAATTAAAGCCGACGACTGACGGTCACGCGGCCTAGGCACCCAGCACCCAGAAAAGCAAAAACAAGAGGAAATCATTTTAAAAGCGACGCACCCCGCCGACTTGGCCTCTTATTATTGTTATTGCCATTGCCATTACAAGTCAGTTGTCTTCTTCCATTTGCATAAATCTTCATCTCTGGCGCTGGCTGACCCGCCGAATTCAGTTTACTTAACTCAAATCGGACTCGGACTCCCCGCCGGGGACCGAATTTGTTTGTCTATGCTAAAATCGGTAACGATTGTAAGTTACGACTGCGCCGGACATTCCCCAATTCCCCAATTGTGGATGCAGCTACTTGGGCTCATCCAGAGGCACTTCCTGCGTCGAAAACAGCGATTTGCATTTGTTTATTGCCGCAACCGACATCATCATCATCGTCATCATCACCCCCTGCACTTGCTGCGTAGATAGATTGATTGCCCACTGGGCAGCCGCTGATGGAATCTGAATCCCAATCTGAATCCGAGATTCTGAATTATGGTGCGGCCCCCTGATTACCGCCTGATCCCCCGCGCACACGTTGCAACTTTTATGTTGTTTACACGGTGCGCGGTGCGAAAAATTTACGGCACACACACTTCTCATAAGCGCTTGATGGATTAGCGAGTCCAGCAGACGCAAACCTGGCCGAAATGTTTACGCCCGGTGGCCAGAAATAGTGGTTTGCCCCTCGTAGTTCGGGGCTGACTTTTAATGGGCGGTTTATTTATTGATTTGTGCAAAACCAAAAGCGTAGAGCATTTAGCGTTTTGAGTATAAATCCGATTGTATATAATAAATATCATTGTTTACATATATTTCATATGTTATAGATATATATGTGTGCGTGTATTTACGTAGTAAAAGTGTGTGCATGGGCATGCAGTTTCATTAATCTAAGACCATTTCGAGACCCACACACCTCAGCGCACTTTTGATTTGTATGCTAATGGAATTCGCTTGATTCGCCCCTGAAATTTAGCCCGCGACCTGGAATCCGATTCGGAGCCGTTCGAGGAGCGCGAACCGTCGCGCACCGTGGTCAAGTTCTCGGAGGAGGCCACCCAGGAGAAGGACACGCCCTTCGTGCGCCAGAACACGCCGCATCCCAAGGATCTCAAGGCCAAGGCGCAGAAGCTCAAGGTGGAGCGCAGTCGGCACGAGGAGCACGCCAATCTGGTCACGCTGCCGGAGGAGGTGAGTGCTGGGTTGGATCCGAATCCCAAGCTTCTGTTTTGTTTCCATCGCTAGGGGAAATATTAGCGTTAATTATTGCAAATATATGATTGCTTTGTTATGTTGTTATGCTTCTTTGGCTCGATACTAATCCTAGCATTAAGCCTGGAAGTAGAAACTAGAGTAGATCTAACTGGGAATAGTAGTATATATGTCTTTTGTTAAGGTACTTTCTTGTGATTTGAATTTGAATTTAAATCGAAGTTTTAAATTTTTGTTACTTTCTATTTTTCTACATGTATGTTAGAAATACTTTTACAGGTATTTTAAGTATGTAGACAAGCTATTGACATAGCTTGGTTTGGAAACCATTCGATTTCGTACAGTAAAATACCTAAAAATTTCCCTCTTTCCCAGAACGGCACCAAAATAGCCGAGACACCAACCGAGACACGAACCATTGTGAATAACTACCAGCAGCCGGCTCAGCCAGTGCAGCAACCCACCGTTGGTGTAAATTCCAAGCAGCCAGTGGTTGTTGGTGTAGTTTCTCCAACTACAACAACTGCCGCACCACCATCCGCCGCTGTACAGGGTGGTTCAGATGGAACTAGCACCACCGCCAATAATGTTAAGGCGGCAACAGCAGCCGTGGTTGCCGAACTAGCAGCCACTGTTGGTGGAAACGAAGAGGCTCAGGACGATGACGAGCAGGAGGATGAATTCGTAAGTTTCAGAATGGATAATAATCATATATTGTTCTAAAACTTGGTTTCTTTTTTCAACAGGAATCCGATCGCCGTGTTGGCTTTCAAGTGGAGGGAGAAGATGATGACTTTTATAAGCGGCCACCCAAATTGCACAGAAGGTAAGATTCCATATAATCCCGATTTCATTTAATTAAACGTAAGCTTAACTTTACTTGACACCTGGTACTTGGATTATCCTGCTTGTCTTCATTAACTAATATTCATATGTGTACATGTTTTTCCTAACCAGGGACACCCCTCATCATCTGAAGAACAAACGTGTGCAGCATTTAACCGACAAGCAGGCCAGCGAGATCCTGGCCAACGCCTTGGCCTCCCAGGAGCGCAATGATGCCACACCGCAGCACTCGCTGTCCGGCAAAGTGACATCGCCCATCGAGGAGGAGGAGCAGCTGGAGGTGGAGCGGGAGCAGGGCCAGCAGCATCAGCCCTTCGACTCGTCGCTCTCGCCCATTCCGGCTGGCAAGACAGAGGCTAGCGGCGACCCAGGTAAATACCGAAATTGTTTCAATTAATTACATTTATATTGCTCTATCTGTGTGAAGCGTCTCCGAAATAGCCAAAGTGCTTTGGCTGTAGCACGGGATAGCTGCTCGCCTTGATGGCAAATCGATATGAGAGTGGGGGCGGGTTCCTGTAATTTTCACTCATTTGCCAACTGGACGACCCGAAAGGGCAGACACTGAAGTGGAAACTTAATTGGCAAACCTCTCTGTCCCCATGGTTGGAGAGTAAAAGCAAAGCCACAAAGAGACCACCCATGACCCCTTTTAATTGTTTGTGTTCTGCACACGCTATCTAGGCATAAATATGTTCGAGTGTTTTTTGTTTGGGTCTATCAATGAGCAAGAAGTACTTCCGAAATAATTATATCAACAGAGAGAAAACGTGGAAGGCACAATTAAAAGCGCGTTATGCCAGCGGAATGCTACAGGTGTAGAAACCACCGAGTTGGGCTTGTGAAACACACGCAACAGCAACAGTTGAGCATTAACACAAACTTGGCCTATAAATAGGAACGTCACGTAGTGCTGCCCGCTTATCAGCCAAGCGATATCTGCTCGCAAAAGCTGATAAAAGTGGGATGGTAGTGGTTGATATAGCAGCGGAAAAACAGTGCAAACCTCACTCAAAAAGGGGTAAACAAGCAGAGAGCGCGCCGAATGAGACGATAAAAAATGGTGCAAATGAAACTGAAATGAGTTGCCTCATTATATTGGTATATGGGTACCCACATACGTATATGGATAGGGCTCTACCTGGGAAAACTGAGAGTGGGGAGAGCCAGCCAGCAGAGAGTCCGCCGGCGGAGAGACCAGGTCGAGTGCAATTGCGATTGCCAGACTTTGCGACCGGGTCTGGGCGTTTGGCCCACTCGCCGCCTGCTTTAGTCATTCTTCAGTTACGCTTGCGTTTTGTCAACGTCGCGAGAGACGCGCTACATTCGTCAGCAGCTCACCGTATATTTGCACTTGTTATTATACGGAGTTTACTTTTTTTTTCCTTACTTTATTGGCATTCAAAACAGAGAGCGAGTTATAGCCAAGACTCCCGAGATCTTGCACAATAACAATAGCAGAAGCTTCTCACGCAAATAGCAAATATCCCTACCTTGACTTAGTCATAAAGCGAAAAAAACAGCATTTCATTGTTAAATACTTCTCAAGAAGAGAGTGTGAAATGCTGGCTGTTCGGTTTTTCTTTTGCTGCTTACGTGTTTTGTTGCTATCGATTTTTGTCTGCTGTCTGTCATAATTCCCTTTATGAAAGAAGAGCCAGGTGGCGGCGGGTCAGTCGTCTGGAAAGTTTCCCACATTGCGCATACGCAACGTATGATGGCCCGAGGCCATAATTGAATTTCTGCTGCACTTCTCTGTCAATCCAAGTGCTCAAGGTTGCCCCCGGAAAGGAATGGAGCGGAAGGGGAAGGATGGGGGAGGTGTTACCCGCCAGCCAAGTAGCCTTCCCTATTTGCATTTCGGCTGCAGTGCATATCCCCGAAAATGAGCTACTTGAAAGTAAATTTTGTCTTGTTTATATAGCAGGCATTGCCGGGTTTTCTGCTGGATATTTGCAGATGGCAAACATGAAAAGTGCTCTCGGTTCGTTTCGGTTCGGTTCGGTTCTGTTCACTTCTGTACTGTTCAGTTCTGTTGTGTGCATATCCGGTTTCCCGGCATTTCCTTCGCCTTTGCACAGATTTTTCTGGTTAGATATTGCAAACGCTTCGGCAATACAATCAACATTTGCACAATTCCTTTGACATTCCTCCGTTCTGCTCCTATTTTCCTCCCACTTTTTTTTATTGTGGGGCCAAGTAAACAATAAGTTGCATTTGCTGCACACATCCTGCAGGGTTCTTAAAGCGAAGAAACCATCTTTTGAGCTGAGAACCACCGAGCAGAACAACAAAATAGCACCGTCCGAGTCGTCCGAATGTTGGCCAATAAATAAACCGTTGATAAGCTCAAGGCAATGGTATTCATTATTTATGTATTGTATCGTTGATTGCATGGAATTCTTATTGAATTTTTCCCTCAGCATGTTGCGTGTTCGTCGATGTGTGCGCTTTTATGTATGATTGTTTGTCGGTTTCCCCGTTTCCCGGTTTGTTTGTTTGTTCAATGCGCCCTGCCCTTTTCATCACCGCCGTAACAAAGTATGCATTATTATTTGCTGTTCTCTTGCAGCTCTTGTGCAAACAGCAATTTAAACTATTTGCTGCCCCTCTCCATTCTTCCTCTATCATGGCCATCAAACAAACACGATTCCGGCTTTGCCGAATGTTTAAGTTTTGTGTTTTGGGCAATAGCCCTGAACTCATCGCCGGGCCTCGTGCATTTCACAGTTGCATGCTAAGTTTATCGCTTCAACCGCCACTCCCCGGTGGCAGAATTTAAACCCCCCACCCACTCGCGCTGCTCTATGACTCTTGACACTTTTCCCACCCACTCGCAAACCAGTCTTCCCATTTTCGCGCGAGAAAACAAACAAAAATGCAATAAACGCCAGCTGCAGCGGAGGAGTGAGGAATGTTCGTTCGGGTCAAAGAATTTCACTGCGTATTTTCCAATATTTCCGCCGCCATGTTGATAGCATGGAAATGTGGAAAATTCGAGTAATCGTCGTCGCAAAAGAGGGAGATCCGAGGTGGCTGTTCCGGCAGACAGCGCCAAACCGAGCGAACATTGGTTTGTCAACAAACATCGATGGGGAAATGCGACCTGAATTTGTTGCCCCTCGGCTGCAATCGAAATGAACTCACGCAGTGGCTTTCATTATCAAAGCACTTCCTTTCCGCCAGTGATATCATCCCTCTCGTTTTAGACACATTAATCAGTAGGCAGCAAACCTATGCTGCCCCACTGATATCAGGAAATAACGCATACGACAGGTGGACCAAGGTCATTACCTACCACTTGACTTTGCTGTACACCAACGAGTAGAGGGTTTGGCCGCCCTGTTCGTTCCCCTTGTAATACGGGCGTATGTGTCGAAAAATTTCGTAATGATTCAGAGCTGCCTTATCGCCAGTTTGTTTTACTACGGTTTCGCTTTGTTTTCTCCCCCACTTTTTGGGCCTTCTTGTTTTGCTTTATCACATTGGCTTAGGCATTCCAAAGTTTGATTAGATAGCAGTGTTGTGAACGCACCCCTTTGCTCTGCTTTGTGGACCGAAAGGCTCTCCACTGCACTGGGAATCGAAAGAGGAGAGGTAGCTTTGTGCTCGGGACATTTCCCAGTTTTTTATGCCGCCCATAAAAACTTTGTTCATTAATTTTTGTCGCCACATTTAAGCGGACGTCGCACGGTCGGTTTTGTTGATTTCCAAAGCTTAACACTTGCAATTTGTCAGAAGCGGCAGCCTCGCTGTCCGCCTTTTAACCTGGTCGGCAATTAATCACGATGCCCGCCAGTTTCCCATAACTGTAGCATTTTTCATAAGCGCTGCGGAAAAATAATAAAGGAAAATAGTGCAGCAGCTCACGTGACATCGGAAAGGGCTTTAAGTCTTTAAGCTTTAAGCGCAGCAGTCGATTACTTGATCTCTTGCCATTGATAATGTCGGTGTAATTAAAATCGATTGATTCGATCCGGTCATTGGCTCAAATTCCATCAGAGTGGAAAGCGGAATTTGCATGAATGGGGGAAAAGTTCTGGCTCAAAGTTTTTTCACTTGTCATAACGAATATGACAAGTCGAAGCTGCAGGAGCGCTGTCCGCTTCTTGGCCACAGATTGCCATGTGGAAAAAGGCAGGCAGGCGAGTGAAATATGATTTCTGCCTTTGGCATCTGTTCATGCTGTTGGCTAATTTCCCAGGGACAGCGTCTCCTTCGCCCAGGTCATTTACATATAAATGACAAAACAAAAAGAGAGAGAGCAGCGGCGAATGGGGGAATAGAGAGAATACCTCCCGAATTCCGTGCCATTGATTTGGAATTCGGCATTTGTCAGCCATGTGGATTGCGATTCATAGCCGGCGTGTAAATGCTAATGCATTTGTGGAATCATAATTTCTTATTGCCACCTCCTCGCTGGCGCTTTACGACCCGCCCTCGTATTTTGCCGTATTTAAATTTTTATATGTTATGTTTATGTTTATGTCGCTTATTTTACGGGGAAAGGACAACAACGACGGCCTTATTTCTCTTGGCTCACCTCATTGAGCTGCACGCGTCGCGATGTCATCGTAAAATGCTTAAATGCCTGCTTAAGTGGGTGCCGCAGAAAGTTCGCAGACACTCTGGCAATCGGTAAAAATAAGTCTGATAAGAAATATGAGCAAAACAAATGACTCGGTGCGATCCTTCTTGTGCAGTTCCTGTTTCTTGTTCGTATTAAAACTTTACTTTCCCCCCTCCGCCCCGAAGGATTGCCTACATTCCGGCGACCCAGGAACCGGAATAAGAACACACAGCACGTGTCATTTGTTCTCCTCCCCGGGAAGAAAAATCTTATTTTGTTTTATGGCTTTCTCTCTGGTTATTGTTGCCCCTGACCGTTTTCCCCCTCCACTCAGCTGGGTGAAAAGCATGAAACGATGGCTTTATTCCGAACGTATTCATGTGTGGGCGGAATATCCATAAAAATGTCTTTTGGTTACACGTTTGTCCGACAATTCTGAGAGTCAAATTGAGTATGAAGGAGACGAGTGATGATGGCATTTAAAACATTTAAACAGAATGCTTGGGCCATAACACCTTCGCTTCAAGTTAAAGTTGCCCCATTGAAATTGCTGAATTATGAAGCACAAACAAACTTGGTTCTGTAAGCAAAGAATACAAATTTTCTGAATACCCCACTCAACTTACCAAACTCAATAATGGCACATCGAGTGAATGGCAATGTCGGTCGGAGACTGAAATCCAGCAATATTAATGTTGACTTGACAGGCAGGCAGATGGCAGTCGAGTGAGGTGAGACCGAGAGCCAGAGACCGAGAGACTTTGCCAGAGATTCGCTCTGTCTTTTCATTTATGCCTTGATTAACATGAAAACTCGCATACAATTACAAAATGAAATTGTCTCGAGAGCTGCGACTCTGTTTTTCCTTCCCTTTCTTCTCTTCCGGCGGATCCTTGACAGTTGGGGAAAAACAAAATCATTTTGTTGGCCAAAGTGCCGACGGATTTATTGAGTGCAAATCAGCAATAGCGAAAATGAAAGCAATAAATGAGTTTCTGAGAAGGGAAAAGTTACTGGTACTCATCTTCATTCCCCACGCCACCTGCTCCTCATCCTGATTTTTTGTTCACCTGGGAGTCGGGGGGTTTGCCTGAATGCGGCCTCGCAGACTGTCTGTTTATTTATTTAATAATTATACAAAGTCTCTTCAGGAGGAGCGGGGTCGTCGGGTATTCTCAGCTGTGGGACTCGAGGGGTCTCCTCTTCCAAGGTCGTTGCTTTAACGTCTGTTTCTAGTCGGGGGAAAAATGTGGCTTTCGCACCGGTTCATTGACTGGTGTTTATGGCCAGGCGCCAGATGCTGTTGGCCAACTTTGGGTCATTCAATTTGAATGTCATTAAAGCGAAATTTATGCTAAGCACAAATCTCTTTAGATATTTGCTTAGTGTTAGGTGTAAAGCTCAAAATTTGATTAAATCAACGCCGTGTAATTCCCCCATGCTTTCGCATTGATGGGGTTTTCCGTTTCATTGCACTTGAATGGATGCATATAGGGTGCCCACTTGGCTTTTATCTGTTCCGCTGGCACAGACGCAGATCGATTGCACTTCTTCAGCAGCGTTTGCAGCGCTCGCGGCAGCATGAAAAGTTATCTTCGCATATTAAAAAGTGCAGTCAAATAAAATAAATAGGTTGCCTCCACGTACACACAGGGTGTCTGTCTGGACAAGATGATGCTTGGCTGCTGCTGCTTATATTAAAAAGTGCACTCAGATAAAAAGCAAATCACAAAGCAGCCATGTTCAATGTCAAAATCAAAGTCAAGGAGGGCAACAATACCCTGCCCCGAAACAATCAGCGCAGCAATGGGAACTTTGGCTACTCGGGAGCCGGCAGTGGTCGCAATAGTCCTGCGATGAGCAGCCTGCGCAGCTCCCTGGCCTCCTCCAACCGGAGTCCCAGTGGATCCCTGCAGCGAAAGGGAAAGAGAGTACGCATAGTAACCAGCTATGATCCCGTGGATCGGGATTACGAAAGGCAGAGGCAGCAATATGGTAACATATAGGAAACGAAACATACTATATTTGAGATATTCATTATTTATTCCTTATAAACATGTAACTTATGGTATTCTTTTCTATTTTTTCCAGACAACTTGGATGGCGTCACGGAGCTGCGTTTGGAGCAGTACGAAATCCACATCGAACGCACTGCTGCTGGCTTGGGTTTGAGTATTGCTGGAGGCAAGGGCTCAACTCCCTTCAAGGGCGACGACGATGGCATCTTCATATCAAGGGTCACCGAAGCAGGACCTGCTGACCTGGCTGGCCTCAAAGTGGGCGACAAGGTCATCAAGGTTAATGGCATCGTTGTCGTAGATGCGGATCACTACCAGGCGGTGCAGGTGCTAAAAGCCTGCGGTGCCGTTCTGGTTTTGGTGGTTCAGCGCGAGGTTACCCGGCTAATTGGACATCCCGTGTTCAGCGAGGATGGCAGTGTCTCGCAAATTTCGGTGGAAACGCGACCACTCGTGGCGGAGGTGCAACAACCGGCTGCAGCTGTTAGCCACGAGCGTTACATCCCGGCTCCAATTGAAATTGTGCCCCAGCAACAGCAGCTGCAGCAGCAGCAACTGCAACAACAACAACAGCAGCCGATTCAGCAGGTGGCGCCCACGCATAGCTACTCGGCCAACGTGTTTGCCACGCCCACTGCCGCACAAATAGTGCAGCCAGCAGCTGCCCCAAACGGATTGCTCCAGAATGGCAGGGTGTGTAAGCCATTTAGTCCCCCACAAACAAACACAAACCACCTCTGACATCTCACTCGTGTCCTTCGCCCTCACAATTTTTGATTGATTTCTGGTTTTCGATTTGCGGTCTTTCCAGGAGGCGCCACTCAGCTTCATCCAGCTCCACACGACGCTCATCCGCGATCAGATTGGACAGGGACTGGGCTTTAGCATTGCGGGCGGAAAGGGTTCGCCACCGTTCAAGGACGACTGCGATGGCATTTTCATATCGCGCATCACGGAGGGCGGATTGGCGCACCGCGATGGCAAAATTATGGTGGGCGACAGGGTCATGGCGGTGAGTGCGACGAGCGGGGGCGATGGGGCAAGAGGTTTCCATGCTAATGGCATTTCCCTGTACAGATTAACGGCAACGATATGACCGAGGCGCACCATGACGCAGCCGTCGCCTGTTTGACCGAACCGCAGCGATTTGTGCGCCTCGTTCTGCAGCGCGAGTATCGAGGTCCTCTCGAACCGCCGACGAGTCCGCGCAGTCCGGCCGTACTCAACTCGTTGAGTCCCTCCGGATATCTGGCCAACCGACCAGGTGGGTATTATAAAATGATATAATATTATAAACATATATTTCTTAAATACCTAGAACTTTTGAGATTGGCACTTACATTTATTAATACCTAGAATTTTTCTGATTTGACATTTCCATAAGCCGAAGTTAATATTTTATAAACTTCCTTAAAACTCAAAACTCAAACTTTCCGTGTAACAAATAACTGCCAGCTTTCCACACAATTCCCAGAATAACCTAGGGTTTTCTCACCTTAAATTCCAACAGCTAACTTCGGTCGACCGGTGGGAGAAGCCGCCATTGAGCAGCCTTACAAGTACAACACTCTGGCTACAACCACGCCCACACCCACGCCCACTGTGGCAGCCAGCATAAACAGCAACAATAATACGCTGCCCAGCAGCAAGACTAATGGATTTGCAACTGCTGCCGCTGCCACGATAGACAATTCGACGGGGCAACCTGTACCGGCTCCTCGTCGCACCAACTCCATTCCTCTGGGCGATGGGGACCATGGAGCGGCCTCCACCACAAGTGGTGATTCTGGCGAGGCTCAGGTAAGGCCAAGTCGGCTCTGTTTTTCTTTAGTAGTTTTCTAGTTCCTAGTTTAGTATTCTGTTTAGCCAGCTGCACGTCATTTTAATGTTGCCCATAAGCTCGTTACGTTAATACGTTAATTTGTTTGTTCCAAACATAATCAGACGATAGGGTTAAAAGGTCTTAACCCTCTAATGCCACTTTCCACAAAAACGCATGTAAAATGAGTGCCTCAAGGCACTCTTGGGGCTTAGAGGGTTAAAATCCAAAAAGTAAATGCTTGCGCTGCAGTATCTTATATTTATTTTTATCAGCCCAGAAAGGTAAGTATCAAAATTGTATCTAATCAAACTGCAGCGCAAGTCGTCCAAGCAAATTGTTGTTGATATTTGGCGCCCGAAAAAATTTGAAAACATAAACATGAACACACTTAATAATCGTAAGAATTCTAATATGTGCTAATCCATATCTCCGCCAGATTATCAATTACTCATAACCCTAGCTGCTAGAACTATATATTTGCTCATCTACTCGTATGTATAACGAAATTGTTTGTGTTTGTTTTGCATGTGCCCTGTGCGCCTTGTTTGTCCTCCCAAATGCTACAAATATGCTCATTCTACATACTATACATGGTCGAACTGCGAATCGATCGATTAGTGTTTAAGATTGCACCAAATTGTGTCCCAGCTTCTAAGCACTCATTCCAAAAAAGAGTCAAACAACCAGGGAGCGTTTGCGCAGGATTGTACATAACTTAACGATAATCATAATAGTTAGGCACGTTAGCTTAGTTCTAGATCTAACGATAGCTTCATAGCGAACCAAAATTTACAAAAACCAACATATTTTTGTTTCTTTTTCTCTGAACCACCAACCACCTTCCCCCCAAAAAACAATCTTGCTTAAAACCGATATATCCGAAAACTTTGCTAAAACCGAAAAAAACAACGTAACAACGTAACAACGTAACCACGTAAATATCGAATGAAACCACGACCGTGAGCAGCCCTCCTCGTTGCGACCGCTGACCAGCGATGATTTTCAGGCGATGATCCCGGCCCACTTCCTCAGCGGCGGCAGTCAGCACCAGGTGCATGTGGCACGACCCAACGAGGTGGGCGTGAGCGCCGTCACGGTGAATGTGAACAAGCCCCAGCCGGATCTGCCCATGTTCCCGGCGGCTCCCACCGAACTTGGCCGCGTCACCGAGACCATCACCAAGTCGACGTTCACGGAGACGGTGATGACGCGCATCACCGACAATCAGTTGGCGGAACCCCTGATCAGTGAGGTGACTATCTCCACATCCCGCATACACTAAAAGTCCAACAAAAGCCAGGCGGCGAGAGTCCAAGAGTTCGAATCGAATCGTTGTGTAAAAGTCACAAGCAAACAGATCCGGACACACACTTTAACCCTCAGAGGAATTGAAAATATATATATATGTAGTATAAATATATATGTAGTTGCCGGAAATCGAGCTTTTCTCGTCTCACCGCACACGCACGCACAAAAATGTCCACCGTACACGATGCACCCCACACGAAAATTGTTTATTTAAAATTGTATTTCATTTATGATTTTATTCCGCAATTGGCACTCTGATTTATTGGTCGCGTCGCATTACATTTGGTATCGATTAAGCTGCATTTGCTGAATAAATATTTGTGCGTTTTGCAAACGATTTGATTTAACTGTTGGTCAAAGGCCCCCAGTTTGATTTTGGGTCTGCCTCTGCCTCGGAGGCGCCGAGTTCACATATTATGTTTCATGCCAAGCATTATGCAAAACATGCACATTGACAAGAGTTGTGATTGCTTCGACTAATTGAGTAGCAGTTGAGATGGAGTTGGATTTAAGTTGGTTATGGCGAGGAGCTGGATACTACTATTAAACCATTAATCAATTAGCTGTGGAATAAGATTGCATGCCACCACTTTCTCTTCTAAGTTAACATTCCCTCTACTAACTCTGGATAAATATAATTTCTTTATATTCTAAAAACATCTTGGTTTATGTTTCTTTCTTAAATCACTTTAAAACTAAATAATATATCTTTGAACGGGAATTGGCCTTAACGCTTTGAAGGGGTTTTTTGGACTTTTTTTTTACCAAGAAGAGAGCCACTTGAGCATTTAGTGTCCTTTGGCTGTAACTGAATCTATTGAAGTGACGAGAAAAGCGCCTTCTTTTGAACGACAGAACGGTTTACTCACTCACTTCCATTGAGCCACTCGAGTGTCATTGCTGACGTGATGCAAATCCCGGCAAGAAATCCCAGAAACTCTGTGTGCATGTGGCAAGCTTTGTCACTTGCCACTTGCAGCATAAATAAGTAAACCAGCAAACTATGCAACTTGCAAACAACCTTAAATAATAAAGTGGGGCAACTACTGCAAGGAGGGTATGCCGAAAAAGGATTTATATAGACTCCAAATGAGTAAGAGTTTGCAACTGCGTTTGTTTCGTGCGCAGAGCGGCCATAAGTAAACCTTGAATATTTCTGTTTGCCCCCGCAATCTCCATCCGTGTGTCTGACTCTGAGTGTAAACACTCTTCGGGGCAATGCCAAATAAAATATTTAATTGTTTTTAATTTATTTTTCCACCCCGTTGTGTTTGCCTTCCACCCGAAGACAGTTATCCGATGGCTTCGAACTCGGAAGAATTCAATTTCTCGGAGTTAATTGGCAAAAGTTAGTAGCAGTTAGCCAGGTACATGTGTTTATTTGGCATCTTGACACGATTGAGCATTGTGCATATGTCTGTGCGAGTGTCAGTTGCGGAGATAGTTTCTCGGCAATGAATATAAACAGAAATATTATGCTTTGATGTTGCAATATGCCAGCACTTCAGCTCAACGATGCCACCACAAGAGCTTTGTTTAAATCTTTGCGGAGAAGGTCAGGAAAATGTTGGGTAAAATTCTGTGTGGTCGCCTCTTACCTTCGCTTTCTGCATGTTGTTTAATCTAAAATTAAGTTATTCATAAGAAAAGCACAAAAGTCGTTTATTATTTATTGAATGTAAATCACCCTCGGTACTTGGATTTTATGTTTAATGAATGCCCTGACTTAATTGCATGAATTCGTCATTTGGTGTTTGGCTTGTCTTGGTTTTTGTGTCCCACGACGGGGAACCCCCTGAATGTTTTGTACCTATTTAAATGTAAATATAAATATCACCAACAATTTTGCACCGCCATTGAACGCCAGCGCACTTGAGCACTCCTCATCCATGAATCACGAATCACGATACACGGCAGACTCAATAGGATTCTTAGCGTTAGGCCCATTGACTTGTGTTAATTTCGTGATGTGCTAACAAGATCTCACATTGTTTCTGTAGGAGGTTGTGCTGCCCAAGAACCAGGGCTCCCTGGGCTTCAGCATCATCGGCGGAACGGACCATTCCTGTGTGCCCTTCGGCACTCGAGAGCCGGGCATTTTCATATCGCATGTAAGTACGGCTATATTAACTAACAATCACCTGCAGCAGCTGCCACAAAAAATAAAAAAAAAAAAAAAGAGGAAGGGAGGTGAAAACTTTTCGAATTAAAACACTCGAGTGGCCGCAACTTGCGAATGCAAATGAGCTGAGCTGCTGCACAATTGTTCGGAACGCAGTCGCTTCATTATGAGCAGGCAACTAAGCCAGCTGCTGGAAACTTTCAAGTTTTTCGGCCATTCATATTCCCTGCGAGCTATAAGTGTATAACAATTGCCCCCGGGCATTATCCTTAAATCCGACAGATTGTGCCCGGCGGGATTGCCTCGAAGTGCGGCAAACTGCGCATGGGAGATCGCATATTGAAAGTCAACGAGGCGGACGTTTCCAAGGCCACACATCAGGACGCCGTCCTGGAGCTGCTGAAGCCAGGTGATGAAATCAAGCTGACCATCCAGCACGACCCACTGCCGCCAGGATTCCAGGTGAGTTATTCCAGAAGCCGGACGCACAAGTCCCCGCTGAACCACTTAGATTGCTTTTGTACTGTAATGTAAATATGTATATACGCTTTGGATCTACATCTTCTTATTCCTCTATAATCAATCTCTGTACTCTCTGCCACTGCTCACAACAAATTCAATACGCACAGAGCATAGAAGTAGTTTATGTAACAACAGAGGTAAGCTCCTCTCGACTTTTGATGCGAGGGGTAGATATTCCAATTAGTCAAATGCTTTCTGGTTTATGTTTTCCATTGTTCTCCGCTTTGTTTCGGCCCCAAAGAGTTTCTCGATTGTTTAAGCTGGGTCCTCGCTCGCTAATTTGAATGTCTCTCTCTCTTCTTGTTAATTGCGAATCACAGGAAGTGCTGCTCAGCAAGGCGGAGGGCGAGCGTCTGGGCATGCACATCAAGGGCGGATTGAATGGGCAGCGCGGTAATCCGGCGGATCCTTCGGACGAGGGTGTGTTCGTGTCCAAAATTAACTCGGTCGGTGCGGCCAGACGGGATGGAAGGCTTAAGGTAAGGCGACTCACCTTTGTTGTCTGGGGAAAAGTCGATTGAAACTTCTATTTCTTGTGCTCCTTCACCTTTCAGGTGGGCATGCGTCTGCTCGAGGTTAATGGACACTCGCTGCTGGGCGCCTCGCACCAGGATGCGGTCAATGTGCTGCGCAACGCCGGCAACGAGATTCAATTGGTCGTCTGCAAGGGATACGACAAGTCCAATTTAATTCATTCCATTGGCCAGGCCGGCGGCATGAGCACTGGCTTCAACTCGTCTGCATCCTGCAGCGGTGGCAGTCGCCAAGGTGCGTAATCTAGAGCTTAATGTGCCTCAGTTCGGTCTTGCTTAAATTGCGTTACTTTTGTCTCACCTTCCTTTTTGTTTTTTTTTGCCAGGTTCACGGGCATCGGAAACGGGCTCGGAATTGAGCCAGAGTCAGAGTGTTTCCAGTCTGGACCACGAGGAGGAAGAGCGTCTGCGACAGGTGGGTAGAGAGCTTAAAGAAAGGAAAACACACAACAGAGGACTTTAAATCGATTTCCCTTTCTCGCCACAGGACTTTGACGTTTTCGCCTCACAGAAGCCAGATGCACAGCCAACTGGACAAACGGTTCTGGCAGCTGCCGCCGCCATGGTGCACGGTGCCACATCGCCCACGCCACCCGCAGCTGCTGCTACTGCTCCTCCCCCAGTTGCCACGCCCACAGCCGCTGATTTAGGAGCGGCGGACACGCCAGCCACACAAACCGTGGCGCTCATTCACGCAGAACAGGCCCATCAGCAGCAAACGCAGCTGGCGCCGTTGGGTCAGGAGAAGAGCACCCAGGAAAAGGTGAGTGACTCGGTGGCCTTGGGCCAAGCCAATTGTTGTGCTGTGGGGCAGTTGGAGAGCTCATTGTCCCGTTTGTTTCGCCTTTCAAATTAGGTGCTGGAAATTGTACGCGCGGCTGATGCCTTCACCACCGTGCCACCGAAGTCGCCGTCGGAGCATCACGAGCAGGATAAAATACAGAAGACGACGACGGTTGTAATATCGAAGCATACGCTCGACACGAATCCAACCACCCCCACAACGCCGGCGGCTCCACTTCCCCTTACTACCGGCGAGTCAGCGAACTCTGCTCCTGCTGCTGCTGCTGCTCCTTCTGCTCCAGCTGCTCCTGCATCTGTGTCGGGTTCAGTGTCAGTTCCTCCTGCCGTCACCGTGCAGACGCAAACGACCTCTGCCAAAAATAAAGATGAAGAGGAGGAGTCGCAACTACAGGTATGTAGCGACCTGACTCTGAATGCACGTCTTCTGTCTTGGCTTTAATGTCTATATGTGTGTGTGTGTATGTGTGCGTGTACGTCTTTCGATATCTGTGCGTGTACTTTTCGTTTGTGTAAAATGCCTGTCTGTGTGAGAAAGAGATACACTCATGTAACAGCTAACACGACCCGACAGTCGCCACCCCCAGAAAAAAAAAACAACAACAAAAAAACACTGAACCCAACTCTAAACCTCACCAATCTTTTAACTTGATTTTTGTTTCGTATTCAGCTTGTTATGTGTTTGTGTAACTTCACTAATGCCTTTGTCCCTGTCACTGACATGTCCTTCGAGTGTGCGTGAGTGTGTGTCACAAAATTATAAAATAAAGCTATACAAAAAAGATAGAATGATAAACCAAAAACACCTTACCATCGCCACAAACCACACCACACAGAGCTCACAAAACTGTTGTGATAAATCTGACATGTGATGCCAGTTGAAAAATTGCCAGTAAAACTGCATTTTCAGCTAAGCTCACAGGTCTTGGCATGATAGTATCAGACTATTAAACCTACTGACTGTAACTAAAAACCAAACCAAAATAATCATTGCATACTCGTTCGAAACACTTTCATTCTCTCACGTAAAACACTGGCCAAACGCAAATGGACCAGCATCGATTTCCATTACCATTTTGTGTGTGCTTTTGTTGCAGCTTTAAAGCGTTTCATTCTTTTTAGTTGCACTTGAATTAAAAGCGAATAAAAAATCATAGCCTATCTCTGAGGGACCATGGGGCGTATGAGTTATGTGTTCTGCATGTATCGGGGTTGCGCTTAGCTGCTCTCAGCTCCCCTGAGCTGCTCCTTTTGGCGGGCGTGTAGATGGCCCCACATTTATTGATATGGCAGCAGACAATTTATTATTTATTAGCATATTGGCTGCTCCTGCTTTTCTTCTACTTCTGCTGGCTTTCTGCGAAGGAGGCCGCTCCTTTGGATCATTGTTCTTGTTGAGTTTCAGTTTCGTTGTTGTTCGTGTTGATGTTGTTGTTGTTGTTGTTGTTATTTATGCTACTTTCATATTATATTCATTTCAGTTTGCGTCTTTACTGTTACCTTTGCCCCGACTGCGTAGGCGGCATTGTTATTATTGTTCACGTTGGATGTTGTTCTGTTTGTTGTTGTTGGCTTTAAAGCATGCCCCATTTGAATTTGCATTGAAAGCGGGAGGAACAAAATACAAAAAAGAAAAAAAAAGAAAGAACGAAAGAGGGTACAAAATCAGGCATACATTACAAATATATATACAAACATATACTTACTATATAGATGGCACGTATAATAAATGTAAATGTAAATAATTCAAAAACTGCAGAAAGAAATTTCCATTAAAACGTCTCTCTTATCTTCTTCTCGTCCTTGTTCTTCTCTCATTCTCCTAAATTCCCTTCAATATTGTGCGCGCTGCTCTACGCCGCCTTTCAACGAATTGTTGATTTTTTCTTTTTATTTACAACTTTTCTTATTGTTTCTCTCAATCATTTTGCAATCTGTTCCGTTGGTTTTGTATTGTTTTCCGAAAAACCCCCCTCCGCACCCGAATCCGAATCCGAATCCGAACCACTCGCCTTCGATTTTCATTGCAGCTTACTGCTGAGCAGCGCATTGCTTAACAAGCGGATGTTTATCACCATAAGACTGAATATTTAGTTTAAACTGACAGAATACAAATGCTAGCAGCCAAAGTAAAAGGACAGGAGGCAACAGCTTGGGTGTGCAGCGCCGAACTGCGGGCACCACTACTATATTTGTACTAAACGAGTTGCAATTTATACACAAATCTAGGATTTGAGGAAGCGTGTTCAAAGGGCCAAGAGTTACTACCCGCACTAGGAGGCGTTCAAACGCCCTTCTTTCGACTCCCGCCCCACTAGAAATTCAATCAAAAGCTCGTCTCGACTCAGCAAATGGTTTCAATGTCCCTCACTAGATCTCTCACCCACACACTTTCCACTGCTCCTGATTGTTAAAGTGTGTCCTTATCAACACACTAACAGCAACAAATTCAAGCATTCGCACCCCGACAATTGTTGAGATAAAAGGAACTCACTCCTCACTCCCAAATGTGTAAATGTATTTATCTACGCGAGGAGCTCTAAAGTCGTCGCCATTTTGCGGCAGAAAGTATTCCACTTATACTTATAGTCTTTCGATGTTTATACTATGTGAAACGAAAACTGTTTACTACAAGACACACAGACACACCGACACCCCCACAATATATATTACTAAATGTGTAACAATGTGTGGCAAGCACACACAAAAGGTCCAATTATGCAACTGAATAATACTCAAGAAAGAGGAGAAATAAATTCCCGACAAAAGAAAGAAACCGAGGCCGATGATTAAGGGCATCTTGTTACAACCTTTTGAACGAGCCAGGCTAAAGCTACACTAGGGATATTTTGTTAGAGTACCTACTAAACTGTTACCACATAGTTGAACCGCATTCACACCGTATATTGAATACTCTCGTCAGGACGGTTTAAGTTTTCCCTTTTCGTTGTTACCTAATGATAGTTAAATTTAAAGCTAGCTAAATGGAATTCGAAGTGTGCATTTTTGATGTCAATAAATCTTAATGTATTTGTCGTAAAAAATCAAAAAATGGGTATCAACTTTTAATTGTCTTTCGGGGAATCGATGATTGAATTTCTAAAGCTCCTTAGTTTTGGTCTAGAAGTTTTATTCGAGAAAAAGTTTTAGTTTGATTTCGTTATTTTACTTTTGCCATGTGACTCGTCTTTGTCTTCGCATCTGCTATCTTTCTGTGCTCGTATCGCTGCTGTTCGCTATCGCCATCCTGTGCCGCGTTCATCAACTCAAAATCATCACCCAGCAAATTGGCCAGAAGAGTCCCGTCCCAGTCGCTGTCTCTGTCGCAGTCGCAGTCACTCACCTCATCATCAAGCAGAAAATCAGAAAATCACTGGTAATTGGCTAATGGACGCAGGTTGCAAAGGAGCACCCCAAACGAAAACAAAACCAAACAGAATCGTTCAACTTTTGTGTGTGTCATTTGTACCAACGCATCATCAGAAAAGCAAAGTAAAAAAAAAGCGAAAACCACCCACAATTCATCCTCACTGTCTCACCAATTCACCCACTCACCATTAACGTTGCACACTGCAATTTGTGTTCAAAGCTTGTGTGCGATGACGTTGCACCCGAAAACCAAACCAAACCAAAACCCAACTAAAACGAGTATATATACCCAATTAAATGAGCAATACCCCAACAATTCAAACTCCACTAGCAGCGAGGCACCCAGACCCCAGATCGCCTGGCCCCCGGAGCTCGTTATTCCTACCAGCAGATGCTGGAGTCGCAGGAGGAGGAGAGCCGAACCTCTGCCAAATCCGGCCAGACGAAGCCCAAGAAGGCGGAGCCCGTCTACATAATCGACGACGAGGACGATGACGAGGTTGAAGATGATGAGGAGGCGGACTCGCAGAAGTTTGACGACATCGATGCCATTCTGGAGGAGGACGAGGAGGACACGGAGAGCTCTCCGCCGCTGGAAGTGCAGTCACCTCCTTCCTACGCGGACACCGATTCCGATACCTTCGACCGACGGCGAGGACGCTACACCAGCGACTCGGAGAGCGATTGTCGACCCTACAAGCCCTCGAGATCGGGACGCAGCACGCCGGAGTACGGAGGTCATCGCAAGTCCGTGAGCTTCGATCTCAGCGGGGACGAGCGCTCCAAATCGGACTACGAACGATCACGCTCTCGCACCCCAGATGGCTATAGTCGGGCATACGATTCGGAGCAGGACACCCGATCTGGACGCAATCGGTTGCCAAGGAAGGGTATTCTGCGAGCCACTAGTCCCTGTTCCACCCTCGAGAAAACACCACCCATTGTTCCAGCCGTGGCTCGGATTCGGGATGTGGAATCTCCGCAGTTGCAGCGCGTTTCGAGGGCCACTTCCCCGGATCGTCCCGGCGAACTGGACCGGGAAAACCCCTTCCGGCATCCCACATCCGAGGACGATGAGTACACGCGGATAGCGAAGGAGGTCAGCAAGTCGCCACGTTCACCGCGCTCCACCCGCGAGCAGTTCTTCTTCGGCTCGTCGCGATCCAGCGAGGATCTGCTGGAGCAATCGCAGTCGCAGTCCAGTGGTCGCAGTACACCCAACACTGTGATCTCCAAGTCCACGGAGAACCTAACGGGCACTCGACCGAAAGTACCTCCTCCAACGGCGCCGAAACCTCAGGTGAAGAAGGCGGATCTGGTGAGGAATGTGGCGCTGGAAACCTTCCAGAACAGCGATGTGGGTCAGGGTGACTTTACGGTCTTCGAGCACGATGCCAGCACGAACACAATCCATCCGGTGGAGGCCAAACTGCCAGTAAGAGTGGTGACCAAGACGAAACCGAGTCGCCCGAGAGAATCACCGCCACCGCCGCCCGTGAATTACTCCACCCTGCCGAAGGTGCCGAGTACGCCCACCTTGCGGGAGGCGGAGGAGTCCATCTACATGGAGGCACTGCCACCGAATCCCTCGCAGCTCCGGCCCCACGAATTCCTGCACGAGAACTCACCCGATAATATCCTGGTGACGGCCCAGGAGCACCGCGAGTTTCTGCTGCGCGAGAACGAGCTGAGGAATCAGTTGCGGGCACCGTACGAACCGGCTCCTCCGGTGCCGATTGCCGGCAGTGGACACTCGGTAACGAATCCCTTCCTTGATAGTTTCGACACCGACATTGACAGCCTGCCATTGCCACCACCACCACCACCGCCCACCACACCACCCGCCAACAACAACTACCACACACGTCATTTGCATGAGCCGCCGACGTTTGCGCCGCCACCACTAACCGCTAACGCATCCTCGTCTCCATCTTGTACTTCCAATGCTGCCGCTGCCTCTGCTGCTGCTGCTGCTGCCGCTGCCGCATTTGCTGCCGGTGGCGCCACTAACCGCTTGATGGACTCGCCGCAACGACAGCTGCTGGTCGCCGGGTCGCCCGCCCAGATCTTTCCCACGGCCCAGATACTGCCGGTGCAGTATGCCAGCCTGCCGCAACCGCAGCAGCCCAACACGCTCACCCTCAAACCCCCCGCCTCCCCCTCCGCGACCCCCTCCGTGACCCCCACTGACCCCCAATTGAACCTTTTCAACCTGGTCCTCCTGCCCGGCGACCCACAGGCGGCGACGAACCAAAGACCATCGCCCGCTCTGCTCTACCTGCAATCGACGGTGAGTGAATCGAGTGGTAATCGAGTGCGGCGGGGGCCACCGCCTCCTCCTCCCACGTCCGTGGCGGTGACCTCGCCCACACCCTCGTACGCCGCCATGAAGTTCCCCACCTTCTCGGAAATCGTGGTCAGCCCCGACTCAAATAGTAATTACCAAAACATGACCACGGCGCGAGTTGGCATTTCGAACTCTTCGCTGGCGAACAGCACCAGTTCCTTTTCGATTGGCTCCTCCAGTTCCTCGTTGATGTTGGCCAGGGGTTCGACCTTGGGCGGGGGTGGTATGGGTGTTCCCTCCAGTTACTACGAGACCGCCGAGGAGATCTACTCCACCATCGAGGAGGAGGCCATCTACAGCAACACCTCGTTCTTCGACTCTCGTCGCAGTAGCGACACCTCCGTCTCCTGTCGCGCCTCCAAATCGCCCACGCCCCCACCTCTGCCCCCCAAGCGTCCAGCGAAACCCACCAAATTGCGTACCGCCCCCGCACCTCCGCCGGTGGCCCAAAAGCCGCATGGTCTGAGGGGCATGGCCAGTTTCAAGCTGCGCTCTCAGTCGCAACCGCAGTTGGAGGGGGCGTGGCAGCAGCCCCCTACGCCCCGAACCCCCACCACGCCCACTGGCAAAGAGACGACGGTTTAGCTTTGAGTGCCTCGGTTTATTTTCACCAGAGAAAATTGGGTTAAAATCAAGTCTAAGGTTAAATCCAAGCTAAATTGGCGTAAAAGTTATTTTTCCATTCTTAACAAATATATTTAGTACAAAATCTTTTTAATCATTAAACTACTACCCTTTAATATTCATTCCATTAAATTCCTCAATTTAAATGAAAACCTACGAGATATCCAGACATTATCCACCACAGCGAGGGGATTTAGTTGTGTTCTTGTTTAAAAATCGATCCACCTGAGTGCGGCAGACCACTTACCTTTGGTTGCTCTTAATTGCTCCTAAGCTGACCGCAGGACCTCCCGGTTACTGCCTCGTCCTCCCTTTTCGCCGCCGCCTCCTGTCACTGCTCATACATTTTAATTAAATTCTAACACCTTTTTGCCATCAATTAAATGGCCCAGCCCCTTTTCTTTTTCTTTTTGCGTCTCCCTCTCTGCCTTCGACTGCAATTTTCAATATTTTCATTTCACTCGCTGGCAATTTAAATTGATTGATTTGTGGGCCGTGTCTGTGGAGCTGCTGAACTTGCAGCACATCGACTACATCGGCACACCTTTCCTGCTAATTAGATGCAACTTTTTGTTGACTTTCGAGACGCCCCCTCCGATCCGCATTGAGCTCAAGGCCCCCCGCTTTCCCTTCAGCCCTCAGCCCTTCTTTTCACACAAAATTGCAGTTGAAATTGAGCAGCGAGCGGTTGAAGTTTAATGGGCACCCCGAACCCCTGTCACCTCAACTGCCAACTCCCTCGGTCTCGGGCCAAGTTTAATTTGACGTTGATTGAAACAGTTGGCTGCTTATGGTCGCCCACCTGCAGTTACCACGCCCACCCACCCGGCCATTAATTTTTGCTACTGCTGCTGCCGCCTGCTGCCGCTGGCCGCCTTTGTTTTGCAAAAACACGAAAAACCAACGAATAAATAAGTATAACGATGAAAAATATCTACCTGAGTATGAACGAAATAACAGAAAAACAGACAGAAAACACAATTTTACAATTTATAAAGTTAATTTCGTCGTAGCGCTGCTAAGTTGATTTTAATGCTAATTTATTTTATCAAGACAAAGAAGCGAGCTGAACATTTTTAATTGCATACCTTAAGGCAAATAAACATTGCGTATTATTCTTATTTGCGTTCCGTGGTCTCTTTTCATTTTGTCTTGTCCCCCTCCTCCAACAATAATTGTATAGCCCCGAAAAGCAGTGATTGCTTAAATGGGAGCGATAACCCACGACCCCGATGAGTCGGTGACCTTGACTTACTTAGCCACTTATCTAATTGGGCCGTGTGCCCATTTGGCCAAGAGCAGAATGGCTGGCAAGCCGACGCTTTGGCACCTGGGCCTGCACTGATTTGGCTCTCGACGGGTTACCCCTTTTAATGGCTGTTCGCCATGTTCCTATCTTATCGCCGAGTGCTCATAATTGCGCCGCGATAAGGAGCGTTGTTCTTCTTATCATCGCCTTATCGCTGATGTCACTGAATACACACACACACACATGAGAATCCCTCGCCCACTAACACTGCTTGCATGGTCTAAACTATTCAATGGCTTATTGGCTTTTAATGCGCCGTTCTGGGCTGAAATGCACACTCACTAGGGTCTCGGCTATCAAACACACACACACATGTGAACCCACTCCCACACTCTCAACACTTTCATGGCTCAATAAATTCCTATTAGCTGGACTGGTGAGCAGCTCCTCCAGCTACTGATAAACCAGCTTCGGATTCAGCTTCAGTCCTCCTTCTTGTTGCCTCTGCGCATTGACTTTAATTGAAAATCGAAAAATCCGATACGAAATTAATTTCTCTTCTAAAAATACAGCTCAGTTAAGCTGGCACTCCTGCTGCTGCTGCTGTTGCTAGTGTTGCTGCTGCTTTCACTTTTCCTCCCATGCACTTGTCCACCCCTTTGATACCCCGCCCCCATTTGCTCCGGCTTGGTTTATTTATGAGCTCTCGGACCGGCGAACTGGTGTGATGTGGTCTGGGTCTGGGTTTTCAGTCCCGACTGCTCCTGACTGCTGGTGCTTGGTCCTTGGCCGGAGGGTCGAACCCTAGTCCAGTGTAAGGTTGCAATTTGTGCAGTTTAACGCTGGCCTTTGCCCTGTTTGCCTTTGTTTCGTCTGGATCCCCCGGATCCTCGGAACCTCGGACCTCGAACTTCGAATCCTCCCCGTTTTTGTCGGCTGCCATTTAATGACTTTGTCGTCGTAGTCGCAGTCGCAGTCATCGTGGCTCTGCCGGCACTAACTATCCGCCCGGCTTGGCTTTATCGGGCTACTGTGTCTCATGTTGCCCAACACGAGGAATTGCATGAAAGCATAAAACCGACAGTACACGACTTTGGGTGATAAATGGCCAGCTCCGGTTTTGGTCCGCTCCACTCCGCTCCTCTCCGTTCCGTTCCTTTTCGTTCGGTTTGGTTTGGTTCGCATCGGTTTGGTTCTAACCCACGCAGCTGTAATTTGCGCCCTCTCCAATTCAATGCGAAGCCACCCGGGCCACCGTAAATTATATGCCCCGAGTGCACAAAAGCGGGGAGCCAGAAATGTCGGCTTGGTCACTTTATGATTGAACCAGCTAGCCAGCCTATGGGTGATCCTGCTAAGCCCCGACAGGGCACGCCCCTTTTTTGGGGGGCGGGAAAGCAGACAAGCTGTCCGCTTTTTAATAAACTTGTGTAGTGCCATCAATTTTCTTTATGGCCATTTCGGATTTTTCAGCGTTGCCTTTGGAAATTGCACTTTTTCCCAGTCATTTAATTGAAAATATGGCAGAGGGAGCTCGCACGAGCCGCAAGTCAAAGCTGCTGGCGGTTTTTGCTTTATCTGTTTATTGATTTTCCCTTTACGTTTAATAAATCCTTCCCCTTTTTTCTGTCGTTGATGCCTTGTGCGTTGAGTTGCTAACGAAAGCGGTTTGCCATTTTGCAGTCAACACCTGGCAGCAGGGATGGAGCCGAGACCAGACCAACACCGACTAAAGTGCCTAAATCGGTTTCCGATAAAAAACGCTTCTTTGAGTCAGCCATGGAGGATCAACACAAGCCCACACAAAAGACAGGTAAGTCGAACTGATGGCTGATGGCTGGCCAGAAAAGTTTTTAGCTTTGAATGAGTGCCCGGGGGGCTAGAAGATGTCGCTTTGCACTTTGACCGAGCTGGTGGTCGTGCCACTTAAGTCTCACTTCTTGGCCCGGGTTGTCAATCAAACCACTTATCTGCGGCTGCCAAGCCACCGCACCTTGGCGTAATTAGAAAGGGGAGCGGGAAATGCGCGGGATTTGCATGACAAAGTTGGGCTGGTTGGGCGAAGAAATGCTGCAAATGGCTAAGCTGCATCGGATCGCTATTTATTTAATTTCCTAAGTTGATGGCAGGGCGATGTCCTTGGCTCACACTCACATTGCACTCTCTTTTGCAGACAAAGTTTTCTCATTCCTGTCAAAGGATGAAGTAGAAAAGCTGCGACAGGAGGAGGAGCGCAAGATTGCAACACTGCGCCGTGATAAGAATTCCAGATTACTGGATGCCGCCAACGACAACATTGACGCCGCCGTCGATGAGAAGAGGAGCCATGACAACAGGAATAGCAGCGGCGAGGATAATGATGACAGCGACCAGGACGCCAACGCTCGCGGGGATTCCGTCGACAATGCCGCTCTGGGCCACTTGGATGATGCGGAGGACATGAGGTGAGTGGCGGATATGCAGTGCTCTCATTTCGGATTATTGGTGCTTGCATTATGCGCTTTTTATGTTACATCTGAATGCACAGACACACGCCCCTCACACACACCCACGAACACCCCATCCTATCAATCAATCAACCAAACAATCAATCACCCTTCACCCAATGCGATTATGATAACCATACACACCCTTTCACACTCGAGCCTCACACAATATTCACGGTGTTTGTGCATTTGCTTAGTAATATCTCTTAAAGTTAAACTTTTTGGTTTTATTGGTGAAGTTTTCCCGCTGCCTTTTGGTTTGGTTCTGGTGCCGGTTCTCTTACAACTGCTTTTCAAATATGGGTTGCTCTTAAGTTTAGATCCGCTTTCAATCGCTCACATACCAAAACAGACCACAAAACGAAACACCCTCTATTTACTATCCATGCAGTCAACTGACGGAGCTGCTAATCATCATTGAGACTTAGTGAGTTATTAAATAGGGATAGCGATCTATGGCTGAGAGGTCTTTAATAGTAAGTACACACCACACCCACTCCACACACAACACCGCACACTCAAACACACATGCATACGATTATAAGCGAGTAAGCCCTAAGCAGTTTAAGTTTTATGTAGCACTTAAGCGTTCTATGGACTCGTAAATCGCAGCCACACTCTCAGCCGTTGGTCTGCTTAAAAAATATGTATAAAAGTATACAAAAAAATATAAGGAAGTCGAGGAAAGTCGGTGGTGTAGGAGTAAGAATGACGGGAAAACATGTTATGGTTCTGGCGATGAAATCTTTTTAGTACATAGACCACGCCCGGTGGGCTTCAAATCTCATCTCGTGTATATGATAATCTAGTCGGAGCGGCTGAACTCAAAAGTGTAAGTATTTCCGCTGCTGCTTTACTTAATTTCGCCCGCCGTTGCGTATACGCAATGTGGCCCCCAGGCCTTCACCCTTGCTCCTCATTTGAGTTTCTGTATTCCCGCTCCGTGTTCCATTTCGTGTGGGCGTGGGGTGTTCTCCACTCCACTCCACTCGAATCCACTCCATTCCACTCCTCTGGAATTCCCCGCGGCACAATGCCAGCTGTTTTTACAATTGAATAACTTCATTTGGGCATTCCGCAAATTGCGTTTTGTGCGTTTGCTCACTCAACTGGGCGGTGCCGGCTCAGCTTTACGGATTTTGATTCGGTTTCGCTTTGGGTCGCCGGCAATGGATCGGCAAACGAGCCGCCAAGAGAGCATCACGCAACACGTACGCATAATTCCGTATCCGCTGGGAATCGATGATTTTATGCTAAGTATGTTGCACAGAAATTAGACGCCACGAATGAATCACAGCGCTGCTAGCCAAAATCTCTGCGAGAAACTCGGGTGGCTCAAATGATGTTTTAATGTCTGCCGGCGTTGGAAACAGGCAATTATAATTAGCGCCTTTTGGGAGAGGGTGCTGCCCACTTGACGGCCCCTCAGACCGCTGGCAGTGGCATGCAACACGTAGCAACCGCGAGCGGCAGGAGGTTATTGTGTCAAAGGGCAACTCGTTTTTTCGGCATGCGTGTGCGTAGGTGCCAACCGCCGACGAGTAAACAGAACAAGGACCCAACAATGGAAGAAACTAAAAGCTTATGCCAGGTGGTTCCCAGCCAACCACTGCAACAGCCTTCAACCACCACCCACAAACCACCCAGAAACCACCAGCCGTGGCAGCCATTTTGTACACAGAGCTGGCGCTTATCAACCAACTTTCACACATATGCGCTCCGCTCGGTTGAAGGACTCGTCCCCACGCGATGTTCCAGTGGCTGACTATAACAACATTATATAATGAGCAACAACAAAGTAATTTAATACAATTTCGCCCCAAAGCTGTTGCAGGAAAACATTAAAAAGAGCAAAGCAAAGCGATTTGCGTCAGCAAAAGTCGCTTCGCTAATACCCTTCTCGGTTCATTAACCCAATGATCTGTTGACCAGTTGCTCGACCTCTGTCGCAAATTAAAACTCGCTACCTGAAGTTGGTGGCTTAAAGGCAGCTTGTATCTGGAAATCATTATCTGACTGACGAGCAGCAGCTTACTGTTTCCGGTCCAAAGGGTATTCAATCTGACCAAAGAGTTCCACAGGGGAAAGTGGATGAAAACAAGTGAAATGCGCACCAGCAGACACGTATGACAACAGCAGATATCATGTAGCAGGACAACAAGTTGTCGACATTTAAGGACTCGACTGTGTGGTCCTTTGTGCTGGCGAATAAAATGTATTCTAAGAATAGAGCTATGAAAATAACGCGCAGGGAAAATGGCTAATTCCACTTTAGCGTTTATGTACATTGCATAGCAAATGCTTTTGATGCCATTTCAAAGGAGCACTTTTTGATATCCACGCTCGTCTTTATTTTCTAATAATACCCCTGGCATTTGTTTTTCTAACCTTGCGCATAAATCAAGCAACAGAACTAACTAATCATTAGTTTGAGATGAAATTTCGAAATAAATAACCCATGATTTCATAGAGAATTCGGCGCAATTTCCCCACCAGTCACAAGTCTGCTTGTCAACTTGGCCTAGAAGACCTTGAAGTCGAGTTGGCTGTGGCCCATCTGCCAAAAACTTCGGGACCGACCTGCGACCTTGCCTCCCCCCTCTGTAACCCTCCCCCCGCCGAAAAAAAAACCCGCCTGCCAGCTGGCTTTACAACTTTACATGCATAATATAATAAATTGAAATGTGTGTTATTATGCTGCTTGGGCCGTAGCCTTGGAATTCATAACGAGGAAAAGAAGATAAACATGTTAATAACCTTGTAATAAATTTCTAGCAAGAATTTCTACTAGTTCTGCGCTGCCGGTGCGTCGTTCTTTTTTCCTGTTCTTGTTTATTTTTTTTCATGCATAAATTGTGTAAAAAAAAATGAGAAGAAAAATATATGCTGAAAAACCCATATCAAATTAGCCGGCAAGGCGGGCGGGCGGTGTGTGTGTGTGTTCTGTGTGCTCCAAACTATTTGTATTTATATTCAAATTAAACTCGTCTAAATCTATAAAAGTTGTGGAACACAAAAGGCTCGCCAGATCCGTGTTTATGAATTTTTTTGGCGACATCAAATTGGCTTCCGTGACGACAAAGAGCCGTCGTCGCTGTCGGCAAAACGCAATCGAATTCTTAGTCGTGCATTAATCGTCTAATTTATTGTTTGATAATTTATGAACTATTATAAGTTGGTCTGTTCTGCCGGCTATTCCTATTCCTACCACTGCTTCTACCATTTTCTGCTCCACTCCGATGACGGCTGATGCCGCCGGATATCGCCGGATGCTGAACTCCCTCGCTCTCGCTTTCAATTGGCTTGCGGTTGCTGTTGACCCTGAAATATTGGCAGCGACAAGACAATTGGTGGATCTTTGAATCTTTCGTGGCCAGCTGAGATGAGATGGCGGCGCCGCCGACCGCAGAATTGTTTTTTTCAGTCTCCGCTTTCGGTTTTTATTAAATTTTTTTACATTTAAATGTGTATGTTTGCGGCCGTTTGCTTCTTGGACGTTTTTGTGATTTTATGCAGATGAAAATATTTATGTTTTGTTGATTGCGCATAAATTAATTTATATTTTATGGCGTTGGCGCTTCGTTCGTTCCTCAAATGGATCGCTCCGCGGCGTATGCAAATCGGCATGACGTTGTCTGTGTGTCTGATATAAAAGCATAATTTGACCTTAAGCTAAAAATGAGGGCGTTAATGATGTTTTTTGTTTTCCTTTTTTCAGTCTATTTTATTAATTTTTTTTTTGGTTAGTCGTTCGTATGCGTTTTTTTCTTTCTCGGTTGATTGTTTTGTTTAGATTGTTGCTTTTTTGGTCACATAAATATTAATTACAAGTCGTGGAAAACCCGGCTACATTCGGACACAAATGAAATGAAATTCCCTTGGAGAGAGAGAACCAAACCAAACCAAAAGAAGCGAGGGAAACTCCTTGTGTTTATTATTTTACAATTAGCCCGACTCTCTGCACCTTTTTAATTGTACACCACAAAAACTTTCTGTTTCTGCTTCTCCAACCCACTTTTGCAGGAATCCACTCGAAGAAATTGAAGCAGTATTTAGAAGTTAAACTAAACTAAGCTCTGACACCCTCACTACGACTTGTGCGAATGTGACACGTTTATTAACCATAGCTTTAAGTGTAACCTATATACTATATTTTACTATGTATGTAAAGTGTGTATTTCGAACGAGACTTTTTCGAACTTAAGTAACAACTACTGGAGCGAGCAGTAAAGCAACTAATCTGCAATATAATGTCATTTTTATACTGCGACACGAAAACTTTTTTATACCCGTTTCCGTACCCGTAACATGTTAACGCTGAAACGTGAACTTTATAGAGTGACAACTACCACGGCCACCACCGCCCACACTCACACCCTCGAACAGCCACGCCCCCTCACACCTGATATGGATAAAGCGTGGTGTTAATGCCACATGCTGTCTCTCCCCCTTGCATTTTATTAGCCTAATTATTTCTCTCTTTTCAAATTGCCCAACTTTCGGAACAACAACTAGTCGTCTGTCTGAGTTGGCTACACTTGAAATTTTTCAGTACACCTCCTGCACACTCACACACCTGCAGCACTTCTAGGGCCCACACAGATACTACCACTACCACTACACTCCACTATACTCGACTATACTACATATAACGCCAGTGCCTTGTGTGTTGCTTGCATAATTTATATGCATTTTGCATTTTTGAAATGTTTGTTATTAAAAGTAATGATTTTTAGAGCAGGACAAGCAGTCTCATTAGTTCGCTGTGCTCTTTTCGTTTTCTCACCTTTGATCCCATGCCACGTTTTTTAATTGCCATAGATTAATGTGAGTAGATAAAGTCACGATTTCGCAGTCGGACACGCAGGTACTCGTATTGTCGGGTTAATGTTGACTTATCGCCTTTGCGATTGCAAATCTCTGGATAAAGATGCATTTATCGCGAGTGTTATTCGTTAAACATGCCAACACATGAATTTTTTGTACGAAACTAAACTAATTTACAGGGACTCCAGGTAGTTTTGTTAGCATTTAAAGTTCCTGACTTTAAGTTAGACGTTATACGAGTAGTATATCCATATTTCCAAAACAAGCTTTCAGTAAGGCAAAGGTATTCCTAAAGTCTCCGCGAGTTATGTTTAATGATAGTCAACCGGTGTTAAACTTTCGATATATTTTATAAATAATTATATATTACAAGTCTGTGAACAAAAGAACCACATAAATAAGAACTGCTAACAATGTATTAATATTACTGACTACGGTTATGGAATCACAGAACTATCATTACCATTATTATTATTATTATTATTAATCACCCACATATGTACGTATTTGTCATCGATTTGTGCCATACATATTTATGTAACTTTGTTATTTTGCATACAAGAAAAGTACAATTTATTACACTAGAAATAAAGGCGAACGATTCAAATTAGCTGTATTGCGATTTATTTATAGTACCGATCACCACGTTTGCATAACTGTTTAACTCTAACCAACTTTCAAGCGCACTTTGGTTGTGGTTTTTGCATCATTTACCAACCTTCATTTGCCACTCAAACATCTCTGCAGCCGACATTCATTGGGGTGTTTTGATTATTATTCCCGGGCGCTCATTATGAAGTGGGCGGCGAGTCGAGCAATTAGCAATTGAAAGACGAAAAACAATCATTTAGAGCTGCGGCTGGCAAAAAAGTTTCATTGGGCATTGCATAAATCTGTCAATTGCAAAAGTTGAACGCGCCTGAATACTTTGGGCCCCAGAGAGCAGCGGGATTATTGTAGAGGCGAGCGCTCGAGTGCCGGGGCAAAGTTCATTTAAAAGTCGAGAGGACAAATGAATGAATGAATAAAGGGAGCCAAAGAAATGAGCAAGAGAGAAGAATCGCGGGAATATTATAAGTGCAATTCCCTGGGTCAGGAGCTCGGCGCACTTTGGCCGCCACCCATATAGCCTTAGTTGGCTCCTTCATTCCGGCTGCTCCTCGGCCGGGATTCCTCAGGCATGACATTTGCGTAGGTAAGCGAGAGTGTTTCAACGAAAAGTTTCTCTCCACTTTTTCGCCATGGCCCCAAGGACCAAGGAGCAGGAGCCGGCGGCGTTCAAATTGAAAAACATAAATCACTCAAGCAGAAGTTGCTGCAAGCAGCTTAGCAGCAGGTAGTTGTAGTTGTAGTTGCCGCTGCTGCCCCGGCTTTTGTGAGAATAATTTCGTATTAAAGTTAAATTGAAAGTGTGTAGCAATTTGTTAAAGACAAAAGTCACTTTGCCTGCACGGAGGACATAAAAAAGCCAAGCGGACGGATGGATAGGCCACAAAGTTCAGAAGGGGACGTAACGAGAATGGGGGGATGCCAGCCGAAATCCCATTGCAAATAGTTCTAAGGCGCTTTATTTTAAAATTAATTTTGCATACTGCTATGCCGGCTTTTGGCCCTGCACATGGTTATATACATACGTACATCCGGTGCGAGACGGCTCTTGGTTCGTGGCTCTTGCCAAGTTTTACGACTCCACAGACACGCTCCTCTGCCTCGGCACGCTAATCTCCAGCTGCCATGTTATTGCACTTGTTGGCAAAGTTTTTCAAAAAGTGATTTTGTCAGGGGTATCCTGGTTTTTTTTTTGGTTTTGTGGGCGCTATGGCGCCCAGACTCCTTTTGACTGCAAAGTTTTGAGTATGTTTCTTGGGTTTTAATTACAACAAAATTCGACTTGTTATGCCAAAGTTTGGGATTCCAGGGCACGTACATGTGTGACTAAAAGAAATTAACGTCATTATGTTTTGTAACTGCTCATATCACGTGCTAACCGCATCTCACCGATTTCCCTCTGGTTTTGACAAGCAAATTATTTGATTAAATGTGTGTGTTGTTGTTTTACTTTGCACAATTCGAACACGAAAACCAACTCTCAAAAATTATGACAGAACCGCACAAAGTCTGGCGGAGACAATGCCACTTGCTGCCAGCAAAATACCCAAGCAGAAGCAGAAGCAGAAACAAAAGAAGTCGGAGTCGAAGCCGAAACCCATTGAGGCAACTCCCTTGGCGGCGGTTGATCCGCCCAAGCCTTCGCTGCTGCCAAAGCCAAAGGTCAAGGTTGTCATACCGCCAGCTCTGCAACAGCGTCTTAAGGAGAAGCAGCAACAGCAGCAGAGGCAGCAATCCCCACCCGAGGAGAGCTTAATTCCGGAGGAGGAAGCTCACCAGCTGGAGGAGTCGCCGTCCTCCGCCGCCGGAGGAAGTCGCATCCCCGTAAGAACCCTGAAGGCCGAGCGACGCGCCTTGGCCTCGGCTGCCCGCCAATCCGGACTTAGTGTGGAGGAGTATCTCCGGCAGCTGGAGGACCCTGAGTCCCCGACCTCGCCCACAACGCCCACCGGCAAAAGCCGTTCCATGATTAAGTAAGTTGAATGCGTGACGGTCAAGGAGTTGGTTGACATGCGTGCAGGTCCTGCTGCCCGAGAAAGGTTACAGGTCAACCCGGCAACCCGGTTGCCCAATTGTGGGCGTGCAAAATGTCCAAGACTAGCCCAGTTTTAGGTTGGACGATATATATACTGAAAAACACCCACACCGACTCACAATGAATGCACCCACTCACGCGAGGCAATACGAACTCTCAATGTTCCATTCTATATAAATACGAATATATATATATCTGTGTATATCTCTTTGTCGATTGGAACACCTTATATCTTTTTGTTTTAGTTAGCGGTGTCTGTCTTATCCACACCCACTTTCTGTCTCTCTTTCTCTGTAAATACAATAGTCATATCTTGTAATTAGTTTTGCTTAAGCTGGAGTTCAGATCGAGTATCAGTTGCCCATTAATCATTAGTGTTGAATGTATATGTAGTAACCCTTTAATTTCCATTCGTTTAGTGCTGAGAAGCGCGCCTCTTGGCGGGCGGCTCGTCTTCGATCACTGGAACAGGGAGCCGTGGAGGCCCAGGATGTGATCAAGAACATGCGCAAGATGACCGACGATCTGATCACCCACGAGTCCAAGGCCAGCGAGGTAAGTTTCCAGCTTGGGGTTCAAACCTCGAGAACTAACCGAACCCTAGCCAAAACCCAAAAACCACATCCATTAACATGCGCCCGATGAGCCGGAGGAAATGGCCCGAACTTGCCTGCGAACATAACCAAAAAAAACCAAAAAAAAGAGCAAATGAACCCACATAGCTACATGGTTTGCTTCACTAACTAACCGCAAGATACTAATACCCTTCAGAATCGAGTGTAACTAATGAAGGATCGAGATCGAAGTGAAGTGTATATGCGACCTCTAAGAACCGATTGGAAAACCCCCTGCAGAAAATCTATTCCCCAGCCAAACCCATTTCTCACCTTCTCTATCTCTCTAATTTATTGTCTACCCACTAATCAGGCCCAGACGAAAATAGTCTTTCCCAAAATTGCCATAAAATCGAGCGACGGTCCAGTCATTGTGCGCGAACGCGAGAAAATCCTCGATGAGAAGATTGTGCGCCGCACTGAGGAGGTGCCCTGTCCCATCACGGGGCGACCTCAACTGCGCACCGTCGAGTACATTGAGAAAATCATCGAGACGGAGGTTAGAGCCACCAAATCAAATCCAAATCCAAATCAAATGCAAACCAAACCAGCAATTACTGTATCATATACCCTCTGTATCAATTGGCACCAATTTGCGTTTCGTTTGAGCGTTCTTAGTCACATTACGCCTAATTTTCGGTTTCTGTTGCCGTTTGTGTGTGTATTATATGTACTATATATCACTTGTAGTCGTTTTCGATTTAGTTGTTGCGCCTCCTCGTAGTCCTCACCTCCAGTTGCACATAATTGTACACTTAATGCACCACCCCATTAAAGCACTCATTGTACAAAAGCAAACAACTCACGCAGAGTTCGACGGCATCGTCTTAATTATTTTATAGAGCCTCATCATTTTTATGGTCTGTCAGGAATGTCTGTCCGTTCTCTTGGTTCTGCAAAGTTTCTCTGTCGGGTAAAACAAATTTTAATATCCCCGAGGAAGTCGGTTGCCAAGGAAGGGGGATTTTGTTGACATTTGCCTGGCTTAAGCGACCAGGTGCTTCGCGCCCACAAGGAGAAAGCAGCCTGCGAAGTGCAGCGCGTAAAAAGGACAATAAGCCACTTTTGCGAGCCAGCTTCGCGAAAAGGTTTTCGGATCCGCGGCCAAAAATGATTTCCAGTTATTGTTTGCCGTTTGAGTGTCGCGGTTTTTAAGGTCGAACCCTCAAAGAGTTTCATTGTCTGTTCTTGTTCTTTTTTTGTGTTCGGAGCTGTAGGATTTGTTGTTGTCACGTGTCTATAAAGCTATAACGACTCCACCGACCGCCATTTGGGGGCTTGATTCTGGATACAATTTTTAGTATGCAAACGCATTATAATGACGCGCAGCTTTTTATGGCCGAGTCCATTAAAATTAAGGCAAAAGTTTTTTGCTTCTCGCTGTTTGTTGTCGTTTGCGGCAGGGGCAGCCGTGTTTTAATGAGTTTCAAAATATCTACTTATAAAAAGAATGCAAATAAAAACAAACAAACCCAGCCAGCACGCAAAGCATTTTATGCGCTATTGTTATTCTGTGGGCACGTGTTTCGGCCCGGTTTTGCTTTTTTCAATTTGCACAAACGGAAGGAAGTGCCATCAAAAGCAAATAGTCCCCACTGAAATCTGAAATCTGAAATCCGAGTTCCGAATTCCGAAAGAATGTCAGCGGCAAGAAAGAAGGCCTTCTGCCCGGGGAGTCTGCACGATGCAGCTGCAGCTGCAGCTCATCTGCAACCGAAGCTTTAGACGTATCTGATTCTGAATCCAGATCGGGCTGCGGTTTCGTTCTGGTAATTCGAGTGCAAAAACTTGGCCGTAGGGCAGGCTAGAAAGAGACAAAAAGTTAGAAAGAGGCCGAAACTTTGCTGACCCGGTTGCATTGAATTCGCCGCAGGATGCCGCAGGAGCTGGTTTTGTTCTCGGATTGCCTGGAGCGTTGCCTGTCAGCTGCAGTTTAGTTTCGGCTTATCGGCCTGCCCCCGAGAGCCACCCACCCTCTTCTCACCCACTTTCTCTGGGATGAGAATACAGGCAATTTTCTTTTTAGCCGTTTGTCAATTTGCCTCAGATCACGTATACGACTAGGCTGCCCGTGTGCGTGCCAGCTCCTCAGAATGTTGTCACAGGTCGTGAGCAGATCAACCGGAACTTTTAAAGTTTAGCACGTTCACCTTACCCTCACCTTTCCGTAATTACTAACGTTAACTAACACCTGTACATCTGCGTTGCCTTCACCATCTGCACTTTAAAGCCTTTCGCACGCTTCGATTCTTCGCCCTCCATTCCGCTGTATAAATTAGAAGTAAGCTTGAGTGAATCGCACACACATCTGGTTGCGGTGCCTGCTGCGCTTTCTTTGCCTGGCCTCCATTAGTAGTTAGTGTGCTGGCAAACCGAATGCACAACGTATCCGCCTCATCTACACTTAGGTGGAGACCTGCAAGGAGCGCATCATTTCCTTGGAGCTGCAGGTGCCCGAAGCGGAGGAGGAGGCACGGCTAGACGACACGCAACCGCCACTGGAACTCGAGGCAGATGACTTCGAGGAGGAAGACGAAGAAGATGAAGAAGACGAGGACGATGACGAGGATGACTATGAGGAAGAGGAGGAGGACGAGGAGGAGGACACCGCTTCGATTGTGACCGTTCAGGCGAACAATGAGAAGCTGTTCCTGCGCACCGATTCCGATACCTACGGTCCCTCGTCCATCGAGAGCTCGGCTTCCGGCAAGGTGCGCATCAAGCCCACTCCGCTGTCACTGCACCAAACTCTGGCCAAGGAGACGACCATTGTGGAGGTCCTGAACCCCGTCATCGGCGGCGACGGCAGTGCCCGCACCATCCACGTGAGCAGCAGCCTGCCCTTCGACCAGGACGACTTTGAACAAGGCGCCGTGGCCAGTGCTGCGCAGCGAAACCTTCGTCCTTCCTGGCGACGCCGCCGGCGGCAGGTCTGAGCTGTCATTAAATGCGAAAATGAAAACCGTGCTCGAGGAGCTGCTGGAGAACGAGCGCGTCAAATTGAATTTGCAAAAGAGTCTCGAGGGCGAGGACAACGAGGACGACGACGAGGACGAGGATGCCTACGGGGATGCGCGAGACGATGAGGAGAGTGCCTACGGCGATGCCATCGACGATGTAGTTGACTTTGGCGGCGCCACGGTCACGAGTCGCCTGGCTAATGACCAGGACGATGCCAAGAACGGCAATCAGCAGCTGCTCGAGGAGCTGATTAAGGACAGCAACCGCAACACAATCATTGCGAAATTGGCTGGCCAATTGTCCGACGAGGATGACGAAGAGGACGACGAGGAGGAGGAGGAGGAGAGCAGCGACTCCTCGGACGAGGACAGCGACGACTCCGACGAGGAGGACAACGCCGAGCAGCAGCAGCTGAATGTCACCTATGTGCAGGGCGCCCAGGTGATCGAGAATCTCAATACGCTGGCCGAGGGCAGCAAGCTGCAGAAGTCGCAGACCTACACGGCCATCAAGCAGGCGGAGACAGAGCTGAAGGAGGCGGAAAAGAAGGTGGAACAGGACACGGTGGATGCACCTATAGCGGAGAAACCATGTGGAGCCGATACCCTGGCTCAACTGCAGGCGGAACAGCGAGCTCTGGCCGAGATCTCAAAGCAGTTGCGCAAGTCGGTGGAGGATTTGCTGAGTGCCGATGGTGAGACTGTGGTGGAGACCCAAAGGACCTACACTCTGCCCGCCGCCAGCGATAATTCCGCGGTGGTGACGGTCACCGAGGTGGTGAAGAAGCAGAAGAAGAAGAAGGGCGAAACGGGAGAGGAGATTTTCAACCGGCTTTTGAGCGGAGGAGACACAGAACGCCAGGTCTTCGACAGGCAACAGGGCGAGACCATAACGACCACCACCACCACCACAGAGGCTGTGAGCGCGGAGGACAATGAGCCGAGCACCAGTGTGGTGACCACCACGCGGACCGTGTCCAACATTGTGACCAGCGGAATTCCCAGGCCGGAGTCCAGCAAGCCGGGCAACCGCAGCAGCAACAATAACCGCAACAAGAACAAGCGAAAGGGCAAAAAGAAGTAGAGGATGTCCAATAGTTGATGTCCTGCAGCAGCTGGAAGAAACTGGGATAGAGCGTTGAAGTTGCGTATACGCCGTGTGTGTGGTGGGTATGGGCATGTGACCCGGGCGAATCCTCAGACTCCCGCACAAAATAACACTCACCCACCCACACACACACACACCGACACACAGACACACCGACATATCAGCGTGTTTCAGGGCTCGCTGTCCATTTTATATACCCACTATTTGTATACATATGTATATTATGTATGTACGATATTCGCATATGTATTGATAATTTTAATTAATTGTGCAAATAACGTGTCCCCTGCATTTACAAAATCCATTTGTTACTAATCACGAAAGTGTTCGCATTAAAAACAAAATATTATCATTGCAAATTAAAAACGCAAAACAAATCGGCGAATGAGATAGTGCAAGAATTTAACTGTTAATTTAATGTTGTGCAGCAACCACAAAGAAACGACAACAACACAAATCGTTGAGCCCATCAGAAATGAATTAATACGACAACAGCATCAGAGAAAAAAAAAACAAAAATCTTATTTAATTCAATTAAATAATTTCACTTTGTTTGCATTTAACTATCATTTGCATACAGCATCTGGTTTTTCTTCCTCATTTTATTATCGAAATGGGCTTTGCTTATTTTCCGCAAATTAAATTTACGTTTTATGTTCTAGCACAAAAAGTAGGAGCAATCGCAAATCTGTGCCCAGCTGCCGGCCGAAGTATTCACGATGATATCCTTTTCGAACCATCTATAAACTCTAAGCATTCCGACTGCCCGCATTTTGGGCTTACTCTTTATAGTTTTAGCCATAAGCGAAAACCGGCAACTAAACGCAATTCGATAGACGCAAAAAGCGAGCAGAGAACATAAATCAAATAATCGTAAATAATGTAGTTAGCAGTGTGTAAGTGCGTCCAGTTGTAATCCGTAGTTTGTAACACAAGGCATAAGCACAACTATGACAAATGTCCTATTGCGATTTCAGTTTTCACTTTTATACAAATGTAAAAATATTTACAAGCAATTTTATGTAATGCCTTTATGATATTTAGTGTGTAAACTCGTCTTTTTATGAAAGAAATGCAGACGTCGGAAAACGAATGAAAAATAAACAAATTGTATGCATTTTTATTTAAAACAAAATTTCGTGTACCATTCATTCAGTAAAAAGCTTTTATTATAGCTTTGTTGTGGGCGAGGGATTTTCATTTTTGGCATCTGAGTGGGATTTTTCCGTCATCCTAGCGCCGCGGGTGCGTAATTACGTCAACTGGATGTTCTGCCTATAATCCATATCTATAAACAGCTAACGGCTGCTGCTATTTTTGGGAGGCTTAAAATGGATTGGATTGCTGCTTAGTCTGTAAATATGCACGTCAGGTAAGTGACTCCTACACTTTAAAATTTAAAAGGAGAATATAAATCGTAAATCGTAAATCAAAAGTTCAGTCCATATATGTGCCATTTATAATTGTTATTATGCAACTTAACTGTATTATAATTTTATGATTTATCCACAAAGTTTTACAACATTTTTCGAGTGTAGGTGTAATTGACATTTTGATGGCTTCTAGGGAAAAAAGATGTAAAATATGGTTGAAGCCATTGCTTTAAGGGAAAGGCTTTACATTTATTTATGCGGCACACAACTCCGCATTGAACACGGGGCATACATGCTGCTGCGACCGAGCGGAAGGAGCTGCCACGCCGTGATGGAAGATACAGGAAGATACGGGACTAGAGCCAGTTCTGCAACTAGGACGCACAACAAACGCCTTCCGACATCTCCTGTTGAGGCAGTCAAATAGATAGACAGCTGCCAGGAGCGATGGGCGTGGCCGGGGGCGGGCGGTTGCTAATGTGAAAATCGTTAGAATTCGTTCAGAGAACAACTTTCCACCGGAATCGCCAGGCTCACGTTCCCCGTTTTCTGCAGGAGTGTGTGTGTCTATGTGCATAATACGATTTAGAGTGCGCAGCATATGAGAGATACTTACATCGGTATGCACTTGCGTCAGCATCTTAAATATTTAATGTCCGCCAATTGAATTAAGCCCTGCTGAATGCTCCTGCTGACGTAGATGTTGCATGTTGCTGCTGCAATGTTGCCGCTGCTGCTGCTGTTGCTGCTGCTGCGCCTGAAGAAGACAAATGAATGCGGCGCTCCCATGTCGACGTCCTTGACCGCCCGCCTCCGCTTTCACGCTCTCCTGGCCAGGATGCATTTGCATTTGCATTTCACTGGCCAGCCAACCAGCCGACCCTTCAAGTGCACGATCCACTGCAGCGGCGATGACGCTAATGCAGATGCAACAGCATCCCCGCCAGCACCACTGCGCATTAATCAAAATCTCATCTTCGTGGGTGGTAGCCACCCACACAAACACAGTCACACGCACACACATAATACAGAACTACTCCCAACACCCAACACATAACAGGGACACTCGCAGAGGGACGGAAAACAAAAACAGTTTGTCATATTTTAATACACTCCAGTGGCCTGACAATGCAGCGTACAAGCTGCGCTGTCGTGGCCAAAAATCCAGCCAATTGTCGTCCCCTGTCACATTTAATAGGATTATGCTTGGTTAAACACAAATATCCATGGACACACGGAAGGACGAGCACACGAGAGTGGGTGCCACATAAATTTACAGCGTGTGCTGCTTGAAATTTTTTACATTACACACATAAATCCTACAAAGATGGTCGTCGAAACCTCTTGAAAAATGTCCACTGTTTGTTTACACAGCTCTCGCACACATGTACAAATATTCAGACACATACACATATACGCAGGTAAGCTCATGTGGGCAGGTGAGAAGAGGTCCTGGGTTCTGGGTCCTTGGGCGCGTGCTCGGCGAGCTATTTGCCGCCGCCCGTAGCTGAGTTATCTGGCAAATAATGGAACGTGCTGTGCAGATGATGCGTTTTCATAAATTTTAAATAAGCACAGCATCTGGCATCCTGGGAATCGCAGGACAGCCGAGCCAAGCCAGCCAGCCGAAGGAACGCATCCAAGTGCCACGAAGACGGAGGACACTCTGTGCTGGTGCATAATAGCCCAGTTTATTCGAAAGTTTAGTTGCGTTTGCTTAACGCCCGCTCAGCTCCTAAGTTGGCCGATTCATTTATCAAGCACTTTATCAACGGCAATCGGCAGGAATGCAGGCTCCCCCGGAGGACAATAAAATATCTACAGAGGGCGTTAATGCAGTTGAACAGAGAAAAAAATATTTTTTCAATTTTAAAAGTTCAATGCGGCATATTAATCCTGCATAAGCTATAAGTCAAACCATAAAAGAATCCTTTAAGATGGATATACTAGACAGTAAACTGAGTATAGTTTTCATAACACTGATACTTTCACTTTATTGAAATTATTAAAGCTGGTTATTATACATCACAAACGCGTTTTAATTTTAATTCAATTTAAAAAGGAATTTAATGGAATACAAAAAACAGAAACCTTCAAGAAGTTGAAGTGCCCTAAGTGGTTCAAATAGTGGATTACTCTCCGGACGGGAATGTCATGAAAAGGCCATCGGAGCTGGGATCTTGCAGATGGGCTGAAGGGTCAATGGGTTGGTGCTCTGATGGGCTTTGTCTGGCCCATAAAAATGCATAGCCCGCATTGCAATTTTGATTGCGATGCCGCTCGATTTCAGGCCCCGCAGCAGTGGCAACTGTTGTTGTGCTGTGCTCCTCCAGCCTGTTGCTGTTCGGAAAAGCGGGAAAATTCAAGAGCACGCATGCGCTGGAAGGCGGACACAAACTGTTGCAGTCGCCAGCACCGAACATTGCCCCTTCGAGGGCCATTTTATCCGGGGCTTTATCCAAGAGGAAGTTTGAGGCCTGCCTGCCGCCTGCTCGCCTGGCTTTAATAGTTGTTTGCGTGGGGCAGGTCCCCAAAGGGATTCTCGCTCGGCAGCTCGTCTTCGTGGCCTGGAAGCCTATGCAAAGTTGGCTTTTTTGTTTCCTCGCAGACTGGAATGTTTTTTGTGCTGGCTTTGGATTTGCCCCAGCTAACTCCACCACCCACTGAAAGCCTCCCCCGAAGCCCTCAGGCTTTAGCATATTTTTTTTTGTGCTCGCTTGCCTGTCTTGGCGCTGTTCCTCTTTTTCGCACCACTGCGGCAGCGGCTGCTTTGCAATTGCAATTTTCAAGGATATGCTTGAAACAGATTTATATGGAGGGCTCAGTACGTGCGGAATTTATTAATGCCGCCCTTGAGAACGGGGCCACCCCCCGCCCCCTCTTTTTTCGCCATCATTAGCCGGAGCAACAATGAGTCCGCCCAGTGTTACGTAAGGTGACTGAACGGCACATCGAAGTTCGCACATTAATAATGAGCTGTGAGTTCAGGTGAGAGCGTTGAAATCTGAATCGTGTGTTTGTGTTGCACTTTGCTATTACAAGATTTCCGACATTTGGCCCCGAAAGGCAAATGGAAACAGACACCGACGTCCCTGTGCGTTTGTTTGTTGTTGATCCTGGCCGCGAACTTTGGCTCCTAATTCGCACTGGCGATGGCAGTTGATGGGCCGTTTTCCCTTATACCCGTTTTTCCTCGGGAATCTGAACAGCGCTCACGTACGCGCATTAACGAACTTCGGTGCTTAAAGTGCAGTCGAAAGGCAAACAAACAGCACCAACAACAACCAACTACCAACAACCATCTCGGCCAGACAGAAACCCAGAGCTCTTCACGCCGTAAAAGTTTATCCGTGTTTGTGCAGTTGGCAAGGGTTCTTCGTTCTTCGTTCTTGGTTCTCGGTTGCTAGTTCCTTCGTAATGAGGTCCTGGCGTGAAGGAACTCCAGGTGGAAGACGGCGAGGCAGTGACCATGGTTTAGCATAATTTATATTCCCCAGAAGTTACCGCCATCGATTTCAATTGCATTCGGTCCCGAAGGTATTTTAATGCGAACACTTCCTCCCATTAAGTTGCCTCAATTAATTTACCATCCAGCTTGACTGCGTTAATTAATTTCCATACATGCCGCATATGGATAAGATAGTCGCAGGAAGTATCCTCTGCCAGGACATCCCGGCACTTCATCAACGTGCAGGCGGAAAAATCTGTTAAATTGGATGGTTTCCAGCTTTACGAGCGGGCGGGAAAAGGCCGGCATTCTCCCCCGCCCCAATTTGCATACATTTTGATTGTGATTATCCCAGGCCACTGATTTAAATACGGACGGATAAGGACGTGGCTCGACACAGGCGACAGAGCGGACAATGAGGAAGTGATGGGAGGACGGGACGACGGGAGCGATTGCATGTGGCAGATGAACCGACTCCAAAAGCTCATTAATAAACACGGCGTCCTGGCGAACAGTAACAACTACGCCTGCAAACGCAATTCCGCGGCTTGTCCGCCGTTTTCCTCCTCCGATGATGAGCTTGTGGTCGGATGGCCAGTCCACTGGACCATTTCAGCCTCATTGTTTTCCATTGGTTAATGGCCAGCCAGCCCGGTTTTAAATCGCCTGAATGCAGCAGTATACATGTATTGTATCGCTGCTGCTACACGAACACAAATATATACATATTTCGAAATTCCGTTTTAATTAAAACAACATTAACCGAGTGTGAATCGAACACATGTACTGCAAGTGAAATGCACTTACTTCCTTGATGGGCCAATGCAATTATTGCGCACATTTAAGCATTAAGTTATGCAAACTATTTCGAAACTGAATTTCATCGAGTATTTCATTACTGTTTCGAAAATTAATCGAATGCACAGGAAGATAAATTTCCGTTTACGATTTATTTATAAACCTGTTTAAATAATCCACAGAATAGCTGTTTACACAGCCACAACGATTTGGGCTTGCAGCTTCCTTGGAAATAACCTTTGAAATACAAATAAAGGATAAATATAAACAAGTGGGAAACCTTAAAATAATAAAGGTGTCTGAAGTCTACCAATTGAAACAGAAATAACATAAGCAAACAAAGCACTTAAGAAAGGGAAATATTGTACAAAATAAATTGAAGGAGTAAACCTGATAAATCTTTAAAGGAAACATATATTTTCTGAATAAATTTAAGCTTTGATTTTCGGATACATACAGTCTAACCAAAACTGTTTCTTCTCTCTGTCTGATTTAAGTTAGTTGTTTAGTTGATTT